GACTAAATATCAACAGGTCGTTCGATGCCCACCGGGAACATTTTTCTAATCCATTTATAATTTTTTGAAAACTGTTGGTTTTCGCCAGGAAATGAAATGGGTTGAAGGAATATTGTAATTCCATCTCAACCACGACACACACGGTAGCTCAATTGGTTAATGACGGTAGTTCGATTGATAAGTTGATCAGTTAGGGCCAGAATTCCTTTTTATATACTATGATACACAACTAAACGTGGCAAATACTTTTAATCTATATAATTTAAAATACATTTAGTACTAAGAGATTATACTTGTGAAGTAGAAAATGTACCAAGGACGGGAAAAACGCTTCTACAATAAAACGGATAAAAAGTGAACAGTATATTGACGACTAGTTGACATTTAAACGAGTAGTTACATTAACACGTGAAAATTAAGTTATCTAATACATTTCGCGTTTTAAACGGTTAAGTGTTTTTAGTACAGTGAATTACTTAAAGGCAGCGGGTGTGCGGCTACCGTAATGCCGTTTTGTTTGGTCTGTAATTTGATATGGATTCGTGTGAAGTGGCTAGTGAAATTGACATCGAATGCCCGTTGTCCATGTCGTTACAAACATATAGTGTTGTCGCTGTATTGTGTTCCTATATTATATACATATTTTTGTTGAGATAGCATGGCAAACAAGGGGTTCACTAAATGGTATATGAAATACCACAGCCATTATATAACATCTTAACAAGTTGCGCCGTCGATCTATTTTGAAAGATCCAAAGACTGAAGCGCGATTAACCTTCACGGCTTTCTTATCCGCGGACGGTGATTTGAACCCGAAAGTCATTTCGTTAACCCTGCCAGTCAATTAATATCCAGATTTCGGATTGTCGGGGTCCAACAGTTTATTTCATTTAAATAGAACACTTTAACGGTTTAAAACGCGATATATTAGTTAAACTTGTTTGGAAATGATTTTTAACTTCGGCCCGACGTTTCGGATGCTTTGCAGCAGCCGTGGTCACTTGAAGACACCCCCGGAGGTCTCCCCGTGACCACGGCTGCTGCAAAGCATCCGAAACGTCGGGCCGAAGTTAAAAATCATTTCCAAATAAGTCTAACTAATATATCGCGTTTTAAACCGTTAAAGTTTGTTTCAGACAAAAATCTTAATTGATTAGAAAATGTTGGATTAGTTGGGAGTCGAACACACGACATGTGGATTATTCGCCTTACATTGTTACCATTTCACCAACGAGTACGTCAATGATATAAAAATTTTGAACAGAATACGGTAACGAATCAAACGTATTATTACTAAATAAATAAAAAATAAAAGTACCAAAACTTAATTTTAACAGCTAATTACAATATTGTGTTGCGATTTTGTAGAATGCGATCTTACTTACCTATATCAATTCCTGTCTTGACTTGAAGCTTCCAACTAAAGCATATTACATGTTAATAGTTCGCTGTCTGTCCGTCTGATAAAAGAAATGAATATTCAAAGTCTAATGAGTTATATCTTCAGCGATTTCCTTTGATTAAAAACCTATTATTATATCGATAATGGAATACAAAATACAATAACGCGGAACATTCAACCCCTTTGTGTTCCAACTTTCAATTTAAGATTGTGGGACGTAATGTTTATACATCAAAGAGTACACACACCTTTGAACGCGGTATTGTAATTCTGTAATGCAATTTCTATGTTAATTGCGTTTCAAGCTAAATTTTCAGGTAAATATTTAACATTCGATAAGGTTTTAGCTTAATCTCATTATAATCTGTGGACAAGAATTTTCGTAAATTTGAAGTGATCACTGCTTACGGTTTAAATGGCTCGTAACGTAATGCGTTACGAAGCCGCTCGGTTTACTATCAGTTTCAATATTAACTAGCTAAACTTTTAATTCATTTAAGTTCTTAACTGTCAAGTGTCTATTAAACGTGTTTTTTTAATGTGTACTACTCGCGTAAACTACAGACAATATATAAAAACTTGTTAAATTAATATAAGGTCATTGTACAAAAAATACTGAAATCGAAAAAGAAGAATTGACTTAGATTATTCCTGTGTTACTACGCATAAAAATACGGTAAACTAGACGTGGCCACAGTAGTAAGAACTAGAATATTAATGGTACAATGCTTTTTAATATTTATCAATGGTTAAATTTACGAATTGCTTTAATTATCAGTATAAGATTATTTACGATTATGTGGTAAAATTTAATAATTATTTATAGCGCTACAAGACACAAACATTTGTGTACTATCTCTCCGCCTTATGAATTTTCGGTAATAATATATATGTATTAATGCGAGATTATTTTTAAACGGTTTTATTTAGCACGACCCGTACGGAATATACCCGTATTTGGGTCAAAAATAGAAATATAAATTATACACCGTTGTCAGATTGATCTGAAAATTTGGTACGCACATTTAATTTAGATGGCAATACAATATAATAAAATCAATAACATCATAAATCTAAGATGGCCGCCGATACAAAATGGCGGATTACATATTTTTCCTTAACCCCCTCAATATGGGTAACAAATAAAAGGGCTACAACTAGTAAAACACGATGATTATGTCAATTTTTTTGTAGTTTTCAGTGCGCGTAAATAAAACCGTTTAAGTATTTTTTTAAGTTGATTCTTGTTTTTACCCACAACAAAAGATGCAAAACCGCTTAAGATGTTTTTTACTTCAATAATAATACCATTGCGCAATGAAAACACATAGTCACTTAGACCTTAAGAGACTTAAGTTGAGCATACGTCCCGATCGTTTTCATCTTGCATGGAGATATGAATAACACTTAGTAATCGTAGTACTAGTAAAGGCATTTGATTGCGTACGCTTCACTCGGATATAGGACACCTATTTCCAATATTCCAATGGCATTCGTATTGTTCGGTTTCATGGCCTAGATCTCTTGTTCTATTGCTGTATAAACGATGTTTTTTTATATATTAATCATGCCAGGCTTTTTTGCTAGTGAAACGTTTGTGTGTATTATATACGAATCAACTATTGATCAAATGTAGAACTCGCAGTGATACGTTTTTAATTCATAGCCATTCGATATTTGAAAGTTAATTTAACGGAAAGAAAACATGTTTTTTGCCATCATACAAAACAAGAAATTGCATTATTTGAACAGCCGGCTACACTGCTATATATTATCTATACTAATATTATAAATGCGAAAGTAACTCTGTCTGTCTGTCCAGCTTTAACAGCGAAACTACTGAACTGATTTAAATTTGGTACACAGTTATTTTAGAGCCTGCGAAAGGATAAAGGCTACTTTTTAATGCCAAAAAAGGGTTGATAGGGGTTGAAAAAGGGGATGAAAGTTTGTATGAAAATTCAAAGCTAGAACAATGAAACTTTCTTCTTTCGGTTTTTTTAATAGGAGTGTGAGAATGGGCGTTAGAGTAGGAGTGATGTGAGGTGAGAGTGTTGCTACATAAATTAATAAACAGCCTAAATAATTAAATAATTCCACCCCAAGTCACTATTCCACGCGGACGTCGCGGGCACATCTAGTATAGTATATATGCATCTTTTTTTCTTGACCGCCTCTGTACCCAAATGGTTAAACGTATTACCTAGCATTGCGTTAAGCGCCAGAGATCCTGGTTTCAAATCCCAGGGAACCAAAAATTGTTTCAGCAGGGCAGGGCACAGAAGTTTGATCCACTACTTGCCTACTAAACGGACCAGTGAAACGGACATAAAAATGCGTTCGCCCCATGCCCCGCGTGGGGGAAACGCTATTTCACTTTCATATATGCATACTGTGTAATTTACGATTTTGCTACATTAGCCACGACCATTTAGATTTTCGCAAATAATTGAAACGAAGGAACATTTATTCCTAAACTTTTGAATTTTTCTTTCAATATTAAAGTGTCCCCTAATGGCCTGAAATGGCAAATAAACAATATATTAAACATATTTAAACAATATTATTTTATAATTGCACCCCCATATTACGTATTGTTTCTGAGTACATTGTACGGTGAACACAGCGAAAACATTTGCACTGCAAATATATTCCGTTAGTTGTTCCATTGTAAAGTCTACTACCCTGTAGCACCTATTACACATACCTTGGCTCGTTAAATATTGTTATTGTTCCAGTAAATTAGATTTACGTTATCAAGAATGGAGTGCGAGGGTTAATGTTAACTGGCTTTGTACTGGCTTGGTAAATGTAAGATAATTACGTGTCGGAATTTAATAAAGGATAACGTAAGATTGCATTGTCAACTTTGTTATGTAATTTATTAATTTAAACGGCAAGGCTCGAACCTCCGACTTACAACGTACCACGCTAATGCCGTTTCAATTTGAAGCATTATAATTTAAATACTGTCTATAGTTTACGCGAGTAGTACAGATTTAAATAAAACACTTTAACGGTTTAAAACGCGATATATTAGGTAAAGTTATTAGAAAAATTATTTTTAACTTCGGCCCGACGTTTCGGATGCTTTGCAGCAGCCGTGGTCACGGGGAGACTTGTTGTGTTAATATATCGCGTTTTAAAAGTTTTAACGTTAAAGTGTTTTATTTAAACATTATAATCTTTTAAGTAATGCAAATTTACTTGTGGATTTGATATTATGTGACGCTTCAATTAAACCTACTCAAAACAAAAATGTTTTTAAATGTTAAACTTACATTAGTGTTACATATAAAATATAGAGCGTTCATATACAAACAAACAAACTCTCTAGCTTTATAATTTTTGTTCAGATATAAGACGGAATGGCGAAACAATTATAAGCTTACAGTACACACTAAAGAAGTATTCGACCTCTCCGACCTATTTAAGTTATCTAGTTAACTTTTTGACTTGAGATAAATTGCGAGTTGAAATTGCAGTGGCTTGTTGCGGCTCGAGACCGTTACTAACTAGTTCTCTATGAGATATCATAAACAAGTTTCATTTTGTCCGTTTTCTTCGCGATACTTATAGAGAACCAGCCGTAAGCTTAATGTCAGCTTACCGCTATTTTCGCATTGCTAGCCTTCAGTTGCGAAAAGGTATGCGTTGAAGATACTTTGACCCTAAAGAAATCGCAATTTTAATTTTCTTTAAATTAAAATAATTTAACACTGCAACTATAACAATTATCATTTCAATTAATCTAATATTTAAAAAAAAATGTACTTTACTGTTAAATAGAGTTAGGAACAATTGTAAATAATTGCTATTTAGTTTCATTTATTTTTTCTCTCTTAAAACTTTTAAAATATAGTCACTAGTAATACAGGCCAAAAAGTAAATAGCCTTTTGTTTTTACCTGAATTGACATTCATAAGCGTTAAGATAAACGATTTTTTTACTTTGACAATAAAGCACGATCAGAACCTTTGCCATAACTCAGCTGCTCATGCTAGGAGGACCACAACATAATTAAAGATCTCATTGATAGTGCAGAATCATAACTATAATCTTTTGTCCACAGTCAGAGACCATCCATCGCACCATGTCACGAGGCTACGACATTCCAGACATCTGGACGGGTACACGCCATTGCACACGGCCGTAAGTAAACCCCATTTAATCCATCAAATCTTCACAATCATCAACGTTTATCATTCAATCCCCTTTCAATTCGCCCCAAAGCTTTATCCCTTTAGATTACATCTTGATTTTGGCTTATTTTTAAATATATTCGTATAGCAAGTGCATGTAAGAAATGTACGCAATTGATCTCATTATGGCTAGCGAGGATCGATGTAAGTAATCTTCTTAGCGTAATTTTGTTCATATTTCATAATGATGTTCTTTTCATGTGAAATCCGCATATAATCCACAGGAATGTCGTAAGTTCTAAACGCTAGTTCATATATGCACGATGTCTAGTTGTTCTTCCTTAATTGTCCTATCGTCTATAACCTCTGTTTCTGTAAATAATTAATAATGACGTAGTTCCACACTCCGACGGGATTTCAGTTTATTCCTGCTACATCACCGAAGCTCGCAGTCAAAGACAACCACAAGCCGTTGTTTACGGAGTGTTTAAACTACAGACCGACACTAAAAGAGGAACAGCCTCCCGGGACCTATGTGTTTACGGTAAGATTTTTAATTACTGTTCCTTTTTCATATTTTATCTGTATTTTATTGGCACTGTTATAATCTGGGACAGTTGACATTTAGGAACTTAAATTTAACTAATAATATATTCCATCTGTGCCTTTCTTTTACACACGATACTTTGGGATAAATTAAACTTCTATTTGTGATTTTTTCGTCTTTTTCGGTTTAAAACTGATTTTTAATTAATTTAATACCTTGAATTACACACTCAAAATTGAATAACATTAATTCACAGCAGAAGGTATATCCTGATCATACATAACTTATCGAGTTGACTAATACAATTTTTCTCTAACGTTTAAGAAATATCTTTTTCTAGGTCCACGCAGACGATCGCGACCCCCCCGAAATGGGTGGCACAGTTACTTACAAATTTGTCTCGACGCCCGGCGAGAAAGAAAGATTTCATGTCGACCCCGAAACCGGACGAATCACCACTGCAGACGTCAGTATTTTTGTCACATTCATTATTTCAATGAGAAATACTCCCATTTAAATGGAACGAGAATGGAACATTAATCTTCATATAATTCGTTGTGATGCTTTTGTGTTCTCACTATTGTAATATTGCAATATGAAATTTAATTGTGTTTAACGCCAAGCGGATCAAATAATTTGAAGGTGGGTAGGCATGTTTTAGCCATTCCAACATAATAATTCGTTTCCTTGTAAACAGATATTCGATCACGACGAGCCGTCGCGTGAGAAAGAAGCCTACATAACCGTCCGTGCCAGCGACAATGGACAACCTCAGCTCGATGACGCTTGTACCATTAAAATCCTCATCGAAGACATCAATGATAATCAGCCGGTCTTCGACAAAGTCGTGAGTAATGCTTAATTTGTTTTACGTGTTCACTGCAGGTGTACAGCTCGAAGCACTCGAGTGTCAAATTTCAACTGACGCTAAGCACTAAAATTTTAAGCCTACAGACGCGAGGATATTTTTCTATCTAGGTATAATGCTAGAAGGTATGAAAAGGTATAATATACTGTACATTGCATTACGATAATTGTGACTAACTGTGCATTCGTTCATTAGCCTCAAACCGTGGCGCAGACTTTATTAACACTTGCCTGTTTTTCCAAGGTCTTCCGCGGACATATTTGGAAGGTTTGTCATACAGAACATTCCACAGAATGAGAGAAAGCGTTTTCGCACCAACTTTAACGTTTCACATTTGAATTTAATTACTAACAATCGATTGTTACCATCGCTAGCCCAGTTCGGTTTTGAAGTTATGATAACAGTCGATTAAATGATTACCTTTACTTGCATGTCGCTGCATGATTTAGGATTGTAAGCCGCCGCTCAAGGCGATATTGGTAATGATATTATTTGTTCAGTGTTATTCACCTTTTTTTGCACATTCGTAGTTGATGTGTTTTCTTTAGCTAGGCTGCTCTTTCCCTTTAGACGCATTTTATCACACTGCACGATTATCGATTATTTTAAGAAACTTTCTCTAAGCTTGGGCATGCCTTGCGTAGGAGGACGAAGCAGGTACAATACGGCTAATAATACACGCTGAGTGAACACACCTGATTTCACTGATGAAGGATCTTTTAACTACTGGTAACTCTTACTGATTGAACGCTTCGTTTTCCATACAGTCGTACTCCGAATCGGTACCGCAAGATTTGCCAAGTGGGCGGGAGGTCATGAGGATATCAGCTACGGACATAGACGATGGAAACAACTCCATCGTTCATTACAGCTTGGATTCTAATTCGCCGGATCAAGCCTATTTCTACATAGATCCGGACAACGGGGTCATATTTTTAAATAAAAGTATCGATGTGAGTATTCTATTTATTTTTGATATTTAAAAATTAACTTTAACTATTGATCAATTTATTCTGATAAAAAAATAATGAGAATTTCAACTAAATTCAGTACTACTGAAATTAATTTAAATTCTACTAATATTCAATTCTGCAAAGTGTTATTTTGAATAAATAAATAATTATTTCAACGTTAATATAGATACAAAATTTGAATTATGCTGAATAATAATGTGCTCGGTGAAGCTTTATGTAGTATTATAAATTCAGCGGGTTCATTTTACATCAAATGTCAGATTTAAATAAAACTCTTTTATCGGTTTAAAAATGCGAAATATATTAGTTCATTTCCAAGTTAATTTTAATTACAACCAGACGTTTCGGAACGACGCCCAACGCACTGTAAATAAGTTACCTAACATATTTCGCTGTTTTAACCCTTATTAGTTTATTTAAATGTGTACCACTCGCATAAACTGCAGACAATATTCGATTGTAACATTTCATCGACATAAGTCTAGTAGTCTATGTTTATATTTTTGGGAACTGGCTCGCCCCTAAAATTTATGAAGGCCGTGGAGTTTAAGGTCGTAATGTGGAATTCATTTCTTCCCCAGAAACCACCCGGCTACAAATTTAAATTGAGCGCGATAGTAAAAGACCAAGGGGATCCACCTCAACAAAGTTCGATTACTTTGGACATTCAAGTCGTGGAATCTAACAAGAAGAGCCCGTCTTTCATAGAAGTTCCAGATGAGCCGATAAGATTAAAAGAAAATTACGCAGACTTTAATACCCCTATAGCTACGGTTAGGGCCGTGTAAGTATTTGATTCGCTCCAATTTAACTCAATTGTGCCCTCAAATCTTGCGTTTCTTTGTTCAGTTATTAAGATTTATTAATGCATTGAATAGTGTGGTTTTTAAACTTTAATAATATTAAAGTTAGTGTGACTTTGTTGTGTGACGTTACTATGTTTTACTAATCGAGTATCTCTATAAGTAAGAAGTGACCTATTGTTACAGACCGAAACTATTTCTATGTTAATACAGGATTCAAATTCGGAACCTGTTAACGCTTATGACCATTTTTGAATCGGTATTAGTTTAGTTGGTTCATTATTTTTAATGGATGTTAAACTCAGATTTTAGTTAACTATTAAATATAACTTTAATACTTTGCTCTTTATTCCACTTTTATTGAACGTTTTAAGTCGTTTTAGCAACATGTAACTACAGTTTTGATTTTTGACATTTTAGATCTAATATCCCAGAAGAAAAGAAACTCCAATTTGAGCTTGTAATGGGTCAGACGGAACAAACGAACAAGTGGCACACTTTCGTGTTAGAACCTGAGGCCGATTCGGCTTATATTAAGCTTGGAAATCATTTGGACTACGAAAAAATTACGGATTATACGTTAACTGTTAGAATACAGGTGAGTAATTGTCTTCCAAATTAATTTAATCGCATGTACTTATTCGGTTTTCTGTATTATTACTCAATTAACGTAATTGATTTCAGCCATGTTAATTGTAATAATAGTAATAAAGCAATTGAAGTGATCCTTTTGAAAATAATTTAACGCTGTTTTAACAGTTTAGATCGCAAAATATTCGATAGTATTTTTTCACTACGACGCGATGATGTCGCTAATGCTAATGAGAGAAAGAAAAAAGTTTTCATTTAACATCATATTTGTTTAATTATCCGTAGAATTAATTTCATTAAAAACATAAATCACTCGATGTAAGCAAGGATTAATAGGTTTCAAAAAGTGGGCGTGGGGAGACACATGTATTTGCGTTTTAAAACGTTGAAAGTATTCAATTAAATTTGTACACTCCTATCTGTAGTCTAGCTACAGACAATAGTCATAAAATGCGAACCTTAACGTTGTAACCGATTTTTTCAATTGTATGTTTTAACTAGAAGGCATTCGATAACAAATTTGAAATAATAAATTGTCATAAATTACTTGCAAGTCATGACGTCACGTTATTTTTCAGAACAATTACAAATTAGCGGCAGAAACAATTATACAGATTGAAGTGGAGGATGTAAATGACAATATCCCTATCTTCAGCGAAATTCGTTCTGGTAGCGTCCTTGAGAACGAACCACCTGGTACACCAGTGATGCAAGTCAGAGCGTTCGACGCTGACGGTACTGCGGCCAACAACCAGATCACGTACGAGCTAGGCGACCCGTCCGACCCGTTCGCGATAGACAGCATCACGGGAAACATAACTACCCTCAAAATGTTCGATAGAGAGGAGCGGAGTTTTTACAACATAAAAATAATCGCCACAGATAATTCGGAATCAGCTCTCATCCCCGGTAAACATAACGCCGGACAGCAAGTGTTCCTTATAGAGATAGCTGATAAGAACGATAATCCGCCGCACTTCACCCAGGACACGTATGTGGCGGAGTCTATCGCTGAGAATGCCAACATTAATGAACTCGTCACTCAAGTTACCGCCCTGGATATAGATACGGGTGAGTTTTTACACGTTCTAGGCGAAGGTTGAGGAAAACATCAATATTTTCCTATTAAATTGACGAGACGCGATTGACTGGTTAGTTCGATAGCAATGTATGACTAATACTAATTGATCGATCGGGGTTCGATCCCCACCGGTTCTAATCAATGTATATATTTTCTGCATTATACTGGACTTCGTTTGGAAATCTGGATGTTGTATGAGTAGGAATATTCCGGAGATTGAACCTAGGAACTCTCGTGCTGATAATGGATAAAAGGGATCAGTGCAACGGATATATACATATATTTGCTTCATACTCCACTTGCAACATACGTCATTTGTTTTACGAGTACTTTTCAAATTGTAATTCTTTATTTATTTATTTTTTGTTTTTGTCAAAATAAGTCGATGTCATAAAACCAATAAGGCAATTAAAGGAATTGAAACACGTATATAGGTACTACTTATATATTAAATATTGTTTGTAATTTAGGCGAGTACACATTTAAATAAAACACTTTAACCGTTTAAAACGCGATTTATATAACTTAATGTAGATTGTTTAAACTACGGCCCGACGTGACTAATATATATCGCGTTTTAAACCGTAAGAGTGTTTTATTTAAATACGTATATTTTAATAATTTCCCGTAAGCTACAGACGCAACTTAACACTTTTCAATTTCCCCCAGCTTCCGTCGTAACGTACAGTATAGTATCTGGCAACACATACGACGCGTTTGTCATACGAAATTTCACCGGTGAAATTCGTGTTAACAACGAACTCGACTACGAGAATATAACCAGCTATAGCCTGGATGTGAGGGCGTTTGATGGCCTTTACGAAGATTACGCAAAGGTCTTGATCAAAATAGAAAACTTGAACGACAACCCGCCGGTTTTTCTCGCTAATTACACGAAAACGATTGAAGAAGAGAAGTTGTATGAAGGATGTATTGTAAAGGTGAGTGCATATTTACAGTAGTGTATAGCCTGTATTTTATAATCTTAAGTCATGACATGGATCAATGAAACGCCCACTTTGTCATCCGTTACCATTGTCCATGCACATACAAGTCTGTGTAATGGCATATGCTACACTTCGATATATTTTAATGGAAAAGTGGAACAATTCTACAGAAACCGTTGCTATGACAACGGTAGTTAAATGTTTTAAGTCCTTAATTGAGCATGTTAAACACATGCTCAATTAAGGACTGCAACAATCAATACAAATTAAGATAAAATGTTTTTAACAAATTAAAACGCGAAATTAATTTTTTAACTACGGGTCTGATGACGTACGACTTAGCATCGGCCGTGGCCTCTGGGGAGTTAATAATAAGTTAACTAATATATTTCGCGTTTTAAACCGTTAAAATGCAGAGTACTTAGCGACCATAAAATTAATATTGTACGAGCAACACGTGCAATAAACATTTTCTTTTATAAATTTTCAGGTCGAAGCGTACGACCCAGATCTTGACAGAAACGAACCACAAAATATAGTTTACTCTCTAGTAAAACATGAGCAAAAGGAGTTCCTTCAAATCGACAACGATGGCTGCCTTCGACTGACGAAACCGTTGGACAGGGACCAGCCGTCAGGTTTCACGAGGTGGCAGATCCTCATCATGGCTGCTGATCATGGGGGCCGATTGGGCTCTGACAGCTTGCGGTCGACCACTGAAGTTATATTGGAGCTTACTGATATCAATGATAACGCTCCTTTTCTCACTAATGTAAGTTTTTACAAAGTCACTTTTCTTTCGTCTTGAAAACACTCTTTTAAAAGAAAAATAAAAGACAGCAGAACAAAAAAAGTATTACCATTAGGCTACAAAGTCCAGTGCCTACTTTTCCGAAATACCCTATTCCGACCTATGTATTCAGCGGGTAATTCCAAACCTAATTACTATATTCATCATAATATAATCACTTCTTTCCTTCCAAATTGGTTAAGAATTTTAGCATCATTAAACAGAAGTTACTTATAATAAAAGATTATCTTTAGAAAGCTTATTCGTATTGTTCATGTTGACATATTACATTTTGAATGTCAAACGCCTATTCTGTATTACTTTTCGATTAATATTTTTATTGAAGCACCGTTTCTATGACATAAGAATCGTGAATATTCATAAAAAGCAAAGTATTTCTTCATTTCCATAGACCTTTTGATATATCAAAAGAATAAAACTCGATTGACAATAAATCAACATTTATAGCGAAACAAAACCTAGACAGACGTTATTTTATTTGAACTCGAGGTCTTTATATTCCTCGGAGAGGTCCGTTCCTGTGACACGCTTCCTTTGAAACCGTTCAAAGCTCTGTTATTCTATACCTTGGAATTATTTTAAATCTCAAATTACTGTGCGGGGCACACTTTAATGATTATTATATTTGAACCAGTTCAATTGCTTTGAAGTTTAATCGCCAATACGCTTTATTATGTCAGCGAAGGTCGCTCTTTGTTTCCTTAAATTGTCGTGTGTGTTTTTTCACGAAGAGGACAGGCAAGCATGATGGAAGCCATAATCCTGCCATATAACATCTCAACAAGATATGCTGTGTACCTTTATTTTGGCTATGTATACTTGGTAATGTAACTGAAACCGAAAAGCGATTGAACTTTAAAGCTTTTTGATTTGGAAACGATGGTGTTTTGTCCTTCCTTCGCGTTCTATTAAACATTATTCTCTTTTCTTCTCGGCCGCAATCTAAAACAATTCTAAATCTGCATTTTTATTTATAAATTAGTTATCGGTAAGAACTATTAAACCAAGAAGTACTTCACAGTTGACACTACAATTAACTTTGAGAGTTTGCGCAAAAGTTCTGAACTTCCATCATCTTAGGAATGAAGATTATCAGAAATTCTTCCCTAATCTCGAAAGTCAATAGGGCCTCAAGACTTAAGTAAGAATTAGTTAAAGTCGTTTATTCAAATTTATGTTGATTGCCGATCCGCTAAAAAACTCGTCGGCTGTTTACTTCAACTTTGTTGTTCGAGTGAAATATTCGGGTACTTCGCTTAATCTGCGCGTGAAAGCGGATTTCATTACAACTGTTCCTAAATCATGACCAGGTCTCTCGAAATTGCTTTTTTTTTACCAGAAACTTTGTTACCCCATCAATAAATAAGTATAACTACCTGAAAAGACCTACGTGGTTTCGTGCGCAACAAAAATGTGAATAAGGATAAATTACATTGCGCGGGTGCATGCATTATATTAAAGACAATTGATAGCAAAAGACAGTATTTTATAAGGCCTTTTCAAAGGGAGAAATATATTAGTCGAATCCCGTCTTATTTACGACCCGAAATTTCGATAGTTTGCAGAAGCCGTGGTCCTATGGCTAAATAATTTAACTAACATACTTCGGGTTTTAAACCGTTTCAAATATTTTATTTAAACATATTTAAGTCGCTGGTTCATTCCCTCAAGTCACTCTGAATACATTTTCTCTACGAAGCAAAGAAGTTTGCATAATTGTCTGCACAGGATTGTTTATTATTTATTTTGTTAGGTTTACCATCGATAAATTACAATCTTACACGCTACATACATTACCGATTCTTAAAATAGGAAGACAACTGTAATAAAACAATTAAAGGTAAACACTACTTGTTGTTACAAAGGAGTACATCATATGTTATATGTATAAAAACCGAAGTATTATAACAATTTAATTATTTTATATTTTTATTTATTTATATTCAATTATTATAATTCCTTTTGTGCCATTTTATTCATTAAGGAACAGTCACTTTTTAAACCTCCACCATATGCAAACCTTCACAATTTAATTTGGTAAAACCGAAGCGCCCGCGGTTACAAACTTTTCCAACTTAAAGAGTTTAATTACCCGCGAGCAAAAGAACACGGCAAAGCCGATTGCTTTCAATATTCCCTTAAATTTGCAATTCCGAAACATGAGTTTCGTTTAGCGATCTGCCGGGTATCGGAGCCGTTAATTTTTCATGCAAATCCCTCTATCTATGAAAGCTCAATTCGTTTTCCGATCCTTTAGACTCCAGGTATTTTCCATTTTCCTCAATATCTACGAGGATTTAAATAATACACGGCCGGTCCGGTAGCTTATGGATTTTGTAATGTTTTGAATAGTAATAGAGAGGTTTATTCTTTTGTTACTTATATTTTATCTAGTACTAGCTGTTTCAGCGACTTCGTCCGCGTAGAATAGCTATTATGGGTATCTAAATTTACTTTTGCAAAACTTCGATGTTTATAAATTTTAGCTGACGCCCACGGCAACGGTCGCGTCTTCCTGTCGTTTTTGGATGTTTAACCATAGACATATAGTGTCGTAGACATTTTTTAAGAGAACGAACGAGAAAAGACGTTTAAAGTGAAATCAATTTTTCATACATATTTTTTGTACCGCTTTCGCAGCGCGTACGCATTGGAAACCCATACAGATAAATAATTTCCCCCGTATTTTCCACATTTCCCCTAGCTTTTTTCGCTACTATTAGTCACAGTGCGATGTTAGCCTATGGCCTTCCTCAATAAATGCTCTAACCAAGACAAAAATACTTTTTCAATTCGAACCAGTTGTTTCTGAGATTAGCGCGTTCAAACAAACAAAGTCTTCAGCCTTATATATTAGTATAGATCTTCATAGATGTAGATCGTGAGTCTCGTATAAAACCTGTAATATTTCTTCAGACCCAACCAGTGATATGGTACGAGAACGAGCCTCCGGGACAAGTGGTGATCCTCACAGCAAAGGATTATGACTCAGCTGAAAATGGACCACCCTTTACCTTCTCGCTTAATGAATCAGCCAGCTTCGATATTCGCTCCAAGTTTCATATACAAGGTAAGACTTTTTATGTATATGTTGAAAAACACAGTCCAAATTATATACTCCTATTTCTGTTTCTCTTTGCCTTATAGTGTTTTAATTTACTGTTTTTCTATTACACATTTATATAAAAAACTTTTAAAGTTTGGAAACGTGACATTATAAGTAACGTCCGACGTGAACAAACTAAAAATAAATAAATAAATATGTTTCTCGTTTCGAACCGTTGAAAGTGTTTTATTTAACAAAACTTTGTATGAGAAACTTTAAAATAATTATGGACGAGCAATTTTGGCTAAATGGCATAGATTCCACCTGGGAGACTTATTTTCAAACAAGAGTTTGACGAAAGCTTTTTAGCACTTAGATTCTTTTCAACAGCGAGGTATAATTTTGCACGAATTCAGAAAAGCACTGAATATTTCAGATAGCTTTACTGTTTCTGATTCGATGAACTGACCTAAATTTTGCGTAGTCCAATGTAATTATAAAAAGTGTGTTCGGCATAAAATTGTATGTTATAAAATGATTGTGATTAGTAAAATACGTTTTTGTTATTCCAAAAACATCGTTTTTTTTACAATAGAGGAGGACAGACAAGCATTCGGATCTCTTGACAGCATATAAAAAACTACTAATTTTGGCTTTAAATGACGTAACTGACGTGTTGCTCCCGTACCCCACAAGGGTATCGAGTTATTTGTATACATATATTACATGTAGCACATAATAAACAAGAAATAGAGTCAACCAGAAACGACCACTTAAAGAGTGAACTCGCTTCAAATCTAGAAATGTTAAAATGAGTTCAGTTAGTTACAATCTCCGCAGACGCGGTGTACAATTATCAACACGCAAATTGTTGGAATTGAATTGGCAGTGGAGAAACAAAGTTAGCAGTTTAGCTCCGAGCAACATTTATTGAGATTTAACTACATTAATTATGGGGACTCGATTTGGGGACGCCTTTGCGTATTATACAATTCTTAGAAACTTCGATTGGCTAAATCGATCCAATTTAACGGCTATTCTTATGTATATTAGAAGAGCTTGTCGGCCTGATGGCAGCAATGTATGGCCTAATGTAGGGCCCTTGTTGCAATAAATAATTTGTCTAACTTCGTCTGGTAAAATATAGATATTATTCGAGTGGAATATCAAAATTATATGCGGGTCACGAACCACCATCCGTGAGCGAAAAAGCCGTGACGTTTAATTGCGTTACGGTTAAGCCTGTGCATTTCCGAATATCCAAAGCCAAAATCAGTCGATAGCGTACTTGTTAAGTAAGATGTATATAATTCAGATATCACTGTTTTAATAGCAAGACATAATTTTTGAAAACTTTTTATATAAATTATAACTATAAAAAAATCGATGATACGAACGGGACTTAAATCAACATCAACAACGAACCGTGCTTCCATTTTAACTGAGCTACCTATATAGTGCTATCAAGTGCAATAATATATAAAAGTAGTAAAGTTTTCAAATAACTCTTCGAGTTGTGGATCTCTCCGGTCTCATCTCTCACCCCCCATGGGTGTACTTAGGTTCTTGGGGGAGCGGAAAGTCAATGCTTTTGGTTCCATGTTGCTTAACAGTTTTTATTTTACATTAAATCTTATCGATATTTAAACTAGTTAGTAAAATTAAAAATCAAAAGCAACATTTTTCCCGATGTAGGATAAAATGTTTTGCTAATAAATGTTACACTAGCTGTGGCCGCGACTTCGTCCGCGATTTTTGCTAAGCTCCTCCACATCCCCCGTCTTATATACTGTCATGGACATTTTTTAATTTCCTTTATAAAGTCTATCATTTCTTTATATATATTTTTGGTCATTTTGAATAGTCTTCGCAGCGCACGCAGCAAAAACTCATAATGTTGAGTACTCTCCTATTTCTCCACATTTCCTTCTATGCTTCCTATCGCAGCCTGATGTTTTACAGCCAAAAGCCTAGATCTATAAATGCTCAAACCAACACAACAATATTTTTTCAATTCCAAACTCTTCTTTTTTTTATAGTATTAGTATAGATTAATTATAAAATATTTGTTTCAGGCAACATTCTTTCAACTCTGGTTTCATTCGACCGCGAGCAGCGTAAAGAGTACAAAATTCCAGTAGCCATAACGGATTCCGGGACACCAAGACTCACTGGGGTGTCCATCCTGCACGTCGTTATTGGTGATAGAAATGATAACCCTATGTCGTCAGGAGAAAGCAGCATTTTCGTTTACAACTACAAGGTATTTTTTTTTAAATTTCTTCGAATGAAAATCTTGATTTTTCTACTGGATATCTTAGTATTTATCATTATGGTGTAATATGACAGAGTACCATCTGAAGACCTGTCTCCATAGGCTCAGTATAAACATGAAGAATTCTTTCTCTTGTGTACAGAAAATACCTTTTCTGGTTGAGTTTTATTAGAGAAAGTTTGGTGCATATTTTCTTATGTGTCTACACGTAGGCTATGTAAATCTATACCATAGAGCCGTCAAGCCGTTGTTTTGGATAAATTTCAAAAATGTGGGCTCGTTTGCTATTATTCCAGTTGTCATTTATTGTACCATTCAGTACAATTGAAGATAAACAACAGAATATCGAAATAATAATACGTTTTAAACAGTCCATAATCGAGCTCTTGAAGATTAAATTCCGTTATTCACGTTTTCATATAGTTTAATGTATACCTTGATAACTGAAATACAGAGATATTTTTAGTTAATTTTAAACACACGCGAGTCTCTCTAAATTACGAATAATATTTTATGTGGAGTGCACGTAAAGGAAGATTTCTTGTGTAGAAGCGTGGCATAAATTCCTTAAATCTACGCTGTAAATTCTCCAGATAAAGCCTGAAAATCATTGTTGCCACTCCGAACGGGAACTACAATTACGTAAATAAACAATTTAATAGCTGAACATTGAATTGTCTGTTTACTGTTCCCACTTTCAGATATGATTTCAGGTTGATGTTGGACGTGGGGGGGTGGGGGGGTCAGAATATTAGATCGATGGGTTTTTTGGTAATTTTCATAAGTGTTTTTATTCAAATGTCGTAGGACCCAGTAGTTGAAATTCGAATGTGACATACGTCATTCTGAGTACACTTAATTGACTGCCAATCAGCGAACACCAACAACGTATGACGTCACTAAGTAATCACGTAAATCTAGTTTTATATTGAGGAACAAGCGTCTAGATCTAGATTTACAGGGAGTTTAACCAGACCTATGTATTTTTTATATTTATATATTTCATTAACTAACAAGAGACAGAGGAGCAAAATAATGTTTAGTTACTTAGGTAATCCTTATGTTCTAAAGCTTTTAGTATACTTCAAGTCTTCAGGCTTCGTATCATGCGAAGAGTTAGTACATTCCGGTAGACAAATGGTATTTAATTAAATGTATTTTCCTCAGACGGAAACTTACTTCAATGAGCTATACCGCTGGCCGTATTACGTGAGTATTGGCACTTGGCATTGTAATTATCGATTTTTTTTTCAACCTATTTTTTCGTTTTGTAGCTGATTGTACTGGATGGTATGATTGATTTCGTTTAATATTTTGTTGTTTTCGTTTCTTCTTTCTATTGAAGCTTTAGATCCTATGTTGTTTCTGAATAGGAGTTTCTGCATTTGATGTTTATGTTCATTCTATTTATTTTATTTTTAAAGGTCTTATTGTAGTTTAATAAATTTGCATTTACAATATCTCCTTAGTATTTCCCCACGAAAAGCTACATCAAGAACCATTTGGATATGCCGAAATATAGAACGAAATTTTGCATTCTGAAACACTTCGTTTACGAACAATAAAGAGTGCTCAGTTACTTACGAGAGCATAAAAATAAAATTTACATTGAAAAGTGCGGCAAGTAGCGAGTGAAAGACGAAAATGTCTTCAAGAAGTGGCAACACATTTATTGCTGTTTACAAACCACCGTAAAATACTTTACGATTTTTCATTCGTCGCCGGCGCGATTTTATTGTACCACAACACATTTTCAGAATTTTCTGGCAACATTTCACAGCATGAAATTGTGATATAGTGACGTAATGTTTCTATGTACTTGAAAACTTTAAGTGTTAAGTGATAATACAATTACTGGAACCACAACATATTATGTACTTTTGAACAAGTTTATTTTTAACAAAGAGCTAATTACTTAATAAAAAAGACGAGGTTGGGAGGATCTGCTTGTTTTCCATTCATAGCCATGCATAGATAAATTGTGCATATTTTTATCTCTATTGTTTGTTGTTTAAGATGAAATCGTCTCTCATAATAATAAAATGCATAACTATTAACAATTCTTCAAATATTTTTTGCTAAATCTTTACTGAATTTACATCTCTCTGGAAATCATATCTACCTATTTCGGGGTACAGCATATTAACATGACCGATAATCTTGACATCACTGTCAATATTATATTGCATAATAAAACTTAGCGATGTAATTAATTTTTAAAAAAACTCAAGTATTTATTGCTATACGTCTGTGCCAAATCAAAACTGCCAGCTGATGTCGATGTAATTTGCCACGAAGGTAGAATAACCGATCTTACGTATTAAGCGATAATAAGACTCCTATTTTTATACTACACGAAAATGCAATTTAAAAAATATTCACCGAAAGCACACGAGCGAGGTCGGGAAACACTTAAAAATTTTCAATGAATAATTAACCCGGCCATTATCCAATAAACTTAATAACACGATAACACCGCTGTTTTATAATAATATGTGACTATTAAAATGTTAATTTTGCCTTAATGAAACCGGCTTTAGTGGTGTGTGCGTAAACTGGGATTATATTATGTGGGGGCACTTTTTACTACCACCTACCACCCATTCCGCTAAGTTACGACGCTTGTTTTATTCTTGACTACCTTTAGTGTTTGCGGAAGGTTTTTTGTTTTATTAAATTCTCCTTTGTTGGCTGCGGCTTTATCAATAAATCTCCGCGAATGTAGTCTCAAGAAAATTTTACAAGTTCCTTGAGAGATAGTCTTTTTAACCCTTGTCGTTCGCTTTTTTGCTCGCGGCACTTGTAATGTTGAGATTGAAATATACATTTTTTTTATAATAGAGAACTACCGACGGTACGGGATTCACTTGATGACAGATGAAATATATCACCATATAACATCTAAACAAGATGTAGTGTCTATCAATTTCGGCTTTGGATATTGATTTCACAGACTGAAACCGAAAAGCGATTAAACTTGACTACTTTTTCATCTGTGGACTGTGGTTCGTGACCCGGACTTCACTTCGATATTCCTACCACCCATTTCCAGACGACGTCCAACAAGTTTCAAATTCTAAATTTTGAAAAATGTTCGACCCGGTAGGGTTCGAACGACCGGGTGTTTATTAGCTATACTTTGTTACCATACCTATGTTGAGTTATAAAGATGAATTCGATGCCCATATCCTACAAATATACGTTTAAATACTGTCTATAGTTTACGCGAGTAGTACACATTTAAATAAAAGATTTTAACGGTTTAAAACGCGATATATTAGTTAAACTTATTTGAAAATGATTTTTAACTTGAGTCTCCCCGTGACCACGGCTGCTGCAAAGCATCCGAAACGTCGGGCCGAAGTTAAAAATCATTTTCAAATAAGTTTAACTCATATATCGCGTTTTAAACCGTTAAAGTGTTTTATTTAAATATACGTTAATTCAATATTGGTCTTCGTCTCATTGCTTTACCTATAAACTTCGGCAATAGTTAGCAAATGCAGCGAACCAATAAAGGGGATTTACAACAAGCGCATCGCTAAGTCGGGCAGACTGTAACCAAGTTAATTACTCGTCGACTCAACCACTACCTCTTCTAATGAACTGGTTGGATGTTCGATTCCATATTTGTAATTCCGTTGAACTTCATCGCTTGTTCTGGATGATTTATATGTTATCTATCGTTCTATTAAACGTACAGATTTAATCTAGACATACTATGTTGTCTTATCGCGCAAATGTAGTTCATAATTTAAAGAAAAGAGACAAAACATAGAAGCTTAATTAGTGCAAAATAGCTTTATCTTGAACTTTATTTTTGCTCTAGAGTGCTGCACGATGAAGAGATATTTTTTCTGGTTTATTTCTTTACTTTAAGTACTAGTAAATCTCTTAGTAAAGGGGCGATATTACATTCTTACTTATAGAACTTAAAAGAAGTAGTTAGTCCATCTAGTCCATCCCTTCCAATGAAATTAAAAGAAATAGAATCACTGTATCGTCATAGTATACAGTTTTAAACCTTACAACCCTTTCCACTAAAATATAGCCAACAACAACATGAACAAAAATACTAGCATTAAATTACTTTGTAGTAAAGTCAACAGAAAAATTATACATAACAGTCTATCTCTTTTAATCAATGTCATTATTTCTCGATGTAAGTGGGTCTTACTCGTCTTTAATAAGCCAGTGTTTGCACACCGATGTTACGTATTTCCAACGTTTTTTTCTACTTTTAAAATTCGAATAGTCATTTTCCGCCGCAAGCCGTTACGTCGAGCACATTCACGAATTTTCAGTTTTGCAGGTCAACGCGATTTCACACATACACTTTTGTTTGTAAACACACGCGTCTCACTGCCCCAGTTAATTTTTCATTTTTAATTCCCCATAAGTTCTGCGAATTGGCAACGAGCACCTCCGTAGACCGAGAGCCGGAAATCTCCGCTCCTATAAAATTAAAAGGGTTCGCCAATAAATCCGACAATCATCAAATGAATTGGAAAATGAAAGCGTTCCATTTACGCAGGAAAATAATGTAGGCCTGCGTTATTCCTCGTTAAAACCTTTTAAGAGATTAACGTGATTTTAATAAGAGCATTAATATAATTTTGTTTCGCTTGCTGTAGCGTTTTGCACCGCGTCACATTTTGGTTTTGTTTGGATATTTTATTGAAATGTTTTTGTAGGGCGAGGCACCGGATACGGAAATCGGACGGGTGTTCGTGAACGACCCGGATGACTGGGATCTTCCGGATAAACGGTTCATGTGGCTGCCGTCGTACGAGCAGAGGAGTCCGTACTTCGACGTGCATAGCAATACAGGCATGATTACCATGAAGGAGGGAACGCCGAACGGAACGTATCTTCTACATTTTAATGTGAGTATGCTATTTAATTATTAAAAGTCCTTGATTGTGAGGACGACCAAGTATCAGTTTTTTAACTCTTTAAGTTTCCATAGGTAATTTTCAGATGTAGATAGATTAACAGTAAAAAGGTACATAAACGTAACTAGACTCGTGGACTTGAATGAAAAGTATTTACTAAAGGTATGCATTAGATAGAGTAAAAGTATTTTCAAAAAGTGTATTTCAAGAAAGGAAGAAAAATAACTGTTTTTTTTTTTAAGATTTAAAACATGTAATACAAAGCACCGTGCAAAACTTTAAGGATTCACATATGTACGATTGTTTATTGTTCTACGTTTATATTTTGTTCAAGTGGCTACTACAATTGTATTCGTAATATTTATACAACTCTAAAGAGAAAATACTACAAAACCATTGTGAAATTGTGAAGTCGATTACCAGTATAGGTATATATTGGTCGAAAATAGTGAATATTTCATCAGCTCCCGGTCTAGGACGTTTCTCTTGGATTTGGTGGCGGCGAAGTTAATAATTAAATGCTAAGTATTTGCGGTGACCTGAAATTCCGTTCCTTACGCTCAGTGTAGGGCTGTCAGCAACAATGTATTTAGGTTTTCGTAGCTACAGGCTAAGTATATGTTTTGTTTAGTTTAGTACCAAGTAAATTAAAACAAAGAAAATAGCTAGCGGTAGCTCAATTGATTAGCACAACAGCACAAAACGCTGACGATGCCGGTTTAAGTCCGCCCTGGTCTTATTTTTTTTTCTCCAATTGTTATAACACTTGCAGATTTATTTATGTGATTTCAATAAATAATGTATTGTTCCAAATTTATATTCTAGATTAACAACAAGCCACGGCTTAAATATTTTTAGAAGTTTATGTTGACAACCCTAGGTACGCCACGCTTAACAAGTCTATTGGTTTTGCTAACACATTTTTGCGTTTTCATTTCAATGTGTGATTTAAGCCTTCGCCATTTCGGTCAGTGATTTAACGACGTACACGGAAATAATATGTTTAAATCGACACTTCAATAAAATGAAGTAGATTTGTATTCATATACCTCTATAGATCATAAGATATCTTTTGCTCGCGTAGAGTAACAAGACGTTGACAGAGGTCCTTGGCTAGAATTATGGGAGAACATAATAAATTGTTTCGTTCGAGCAATACAACGGATTCAAAAATGTGTCCGCCCCTTGTACCACTTAGACAAACGAGATTTACTTATATACTCTGCATATGGAAGTATATTATCTATTTATTTTTATTAAGTAAGCATGAAATTCTAGCACTTATTCTAAACAATATGTTCTCTAAGGAAAAATGCTCGAATGCAGATTGTAATATAATATTCTGAGCCCCATATATTTCCTTGGTCCTTTGGGTGCGAAGCAAGTTCCTATTTTTAACCGACTTTAAAATAGATGAATATTAAATTTAAGATGCTCGTTTTGTTACTTTTATCTGTTGTGTTCATTGCATTTTAACTTATTTAATATGGCCAGCACAGAATGTTTATTAATAATAAGTAAATATATTCTAAAAAAATTAAATAGAAAATATTTATGTGAAATACGTTCATATTTATCGTTTTTTACATATCACAGGTCACTGAGGAAAACGAACCGTTAGTACCTTTCCACTGGGTTGAAGCCACTGTCAACGTGACTATTAAGGAGATACCAGAGGAAGCTGTTGATAAATCTGGTTCCATCCGTTTCGTCAACATAACCGCTGAAGAGTTCATCATACCAGAAGCAGATGTAAGTATTAAATCACGGTAACTCAATTGGTTAAAACAGCAGCACGGAACGCTGGAGATGCCGGTTTAACGAGCTTGTGTCGTCAATTTTTTTCAATTACTGTTCTTATATTATGTATTAATGTATAAAATGTACAGTTCAGGGAACGATCAAAAACGTGATTAACGTTCTATTTAAGGCAAATAATTTGTTTATAATAGCCAACATTTCGGCGTACACAAAGAGTCGATTAAAGATATCCGAAAAAAAACGTGCTTCTTGGATTTGAACTCAACCCTATGTCATGATATAATCCATTGTCTCGCGACGTTTCCTTGACTTTGAAAGGACTGCAGGCTTTCGTTTCGAGTAACCCAATTTCTTTCTATTCTGTTTTTGGACTAGCTGACACAGGCACGTGACACACGCTCGGATATTTTAAAAACTTTTTAGAACACAAGCCAAACAATCTTGTTTGAAGGGCTAACCTAAAATCTTATTTTAAATATACTAACTATGACAAAAGAGATGGCGCTAGGGCAGCAGTTACCTTCGGTCCGCCCGTGACCTCGACTGCCGGATTCAACGCTATAATGTTTAATAGGAGATACGCTATTACAGATTGCGTTTCATAGTTCTTAAAGAGAAAAGAAAAGCATGCTCTCTCCTTGTACTTGTCGTAGTAAGATTCTATGTAGACATCATTCCTAGATAAATAGGATACCTAAGAGAGAAAGGTTTTATAAAACGAAAGAGTTGTTTCTGAGCATAACGCTTTCAAACAAACAGCTTTAAAATATTAGTATGCAAGCATAGATATTCTTCTAATTCAAACCCTTAAACTCGAGTAACGTTTTGGGTCGAGATGGAATTCTTCTAAGCTTGTTCTTATTAAAGCGGATATTAAAATTTTCAATTGCTCCGCGTATTGTTCAGAGACTGGGCTCTCAACTTTTCATATCTAAACTGTTTCTTTGCTGTTTTTCCTTCAGATTTATCTTCTGTCTGTGTACATTTTTAAGGCGTTAGTAGGTCAGTTAGAATTGTAAGCGAAAACTGCGTGGTTTCGTAGCCAAGGATATATTCACACTTTTTTAGACCAGCCTCACATCGTTAGTCCCTTCTATCTTGCTCGGTCTTCTACCATAGAAGTAGACCTTGCTTATCTGGATAATTATTCAAATCCTTTTAAAGTTATTTTAAACAAATTGCAAGGTCTATGCTATGCTTTAGAAAAAAACGTAATTAGAAGTTACATAGAAGACGTGTTCGATAATTTTATTAATCACACATTTTAAAATCTATCCAACGTAACTGAATTAAAGAACAAATGTTTGCATCCTATAGGTACTTTACTATAGTATACTTTACTTTCTTTTTTATAGCAGAGAAATTCGGCCAAGCGTAGGGTCCACTTCATGAGGTTAAACGCCTTACCAGAAGTCACAGACTGATGACATAGATACGTTTCACGGCTTTTCCATTTCTAGATAATGGTTGGTGATCAGAAGAAAGTTTCAATATTCCTACCACCAATTATATGTTGCTATTAGAGCCTGTACTCAGTGTAAGAAAAATTTACATTTCGTAAATCTTATCTTAAATATTCCGCCACAAAATTAAGCTCATAACAGCGCGTAGTCTTCACATAATATAGTTAGGTGTAAGCGTTATAGCCTATTATGAACTTACGAAGCCCTCAGTTCTCGTTAGGGGCTGCTTTGTGACGTCATCGGGCTTAGACAAACATGAACGTTCAAACAAACAAACTTTCTAATAATATTGATAAAGATGTAAAATATATATATTTTTAAAAGCAATCACATCCACGTATCTGGCAGTGCTGCTAAGCTTACCTGAAATTGGGAAGTGGTCTGGACAGGTCGCAGGGCGGGCGGAATGTGAGCAAAAATTACAGGTGAACGCCGAAAGCCGCGAAGTCTCTGCGGTTAACCGAGTTGTGGAATTTACGGTTAAAATACCGGGATATTTATTATTTCTAGTATTGGTTTTAATTTGTGCAGAGATTTTTTCTACTAATTATTATTCTGGAAAAATCTTGATATGAAATAGGTGGTTAGCAAATTCCGTCTGGATGACGAACCCCCGTCCACATATGACTACCACACATGACACGACAGTTCTTCGTGTTGATATATTCAATAGGGGGGCGTTCATCACCACACATTCCCCTTCCATCGGTGAAACTTTGTGCTTGCTTGCCTATCATAATTACAAACGACAATTGAAAAAAAATCTATATATTTTGAAATCTCAATTTACCGACTGTCACTTGAAGAACGTACTTAACGTGCGAAACAAATTTGCAAATAATTATAAATTTCCCCTACTATTGCACATTTAGGGCTTATATAGATTTCAAATTTATTTTGGATGAATATTCAGTGAGCACGGACTGAAAAACTGAACAACTGTATGATATCCTTTGCAGCATTTAGCTGAGTCTGAATCGCGAATTGCCATGAAATTCTAGTCTAATAATAATAATTTTAAAATTTTCTGTCCTGTCTTCCCGTGGTCACGGCTCCTGCAAAGCATCCGAAACGTCAGGCCACAGTTAAAATAATTTTCAAGTTTAACTGATGTATATCGCGTTTTAAACCGTTAGTGTTTTGTTTAAATTTTCTGTCATATTTTAAGGCATTAAAATGATTTTTTTTAATATTACATGTGTAAAATCCGGTTCTCGCCACTAAAATAAAAATCACATAAACGCGACACTCCACTCTCAAAGGTATTCAAGACGAAGACATTATGCACTACACGGTCACTTAGACGTTTTTACGTTTATGGAGAGCTGCCAAGCCCTCGGGCAGAAGTTGAGTCGACCTTGACATAATGTACTCTACCACTATAACGGGAATACTATTGTTTGCTAAATTACATTACTTCTCGTAGCCTACGGCTGTTGCGTCCTTGCTGTTAATATTTAGTTAAGGACAAATAAGATGAGAGGAGTTATGAAACGAAGAGATTTAACTAATAAATGTTTACGATCTATGACGTTTGAAATATTAAAGCGATTGGTACTTAGATTATTAATAATAAACTTTAATATTTTTAACTTGTTGTGGCACATGATGGCGCTATATAAACTGAAAATCGAAAATAAATTGAAAAAAATTAAGACCCTGACAGGACATGGAACCGGCACCGTCAGTGTTCCGTGCTGTTGCCTTGTTGTTAAATGAATTAATTTATATATTACACATTAAACAGGAATATATTTATTGTATATTCTTGTTAAAAAGTGGATATTATAAACATACTTTTAAATGTTTACTTTCTGTATGTGGTACCTTAATTGTTACAACAGCAGCATTGTATGTTCGAAGTAATTCTCCCAAAAAAAAAATTATAGACAAGTGCGAACATTTATTTTACTCAACTATCTATACAAATTACTGTCTTCGAGGCTCAACGATTACGTGCTGTTCTGGGTTCAAATCCCGTGGAAAAATAAAATTTTGGACGGACCGAGCACGTAAGTCTGATGATCAATATAACTGTATACTATCTGTAGTTTACAACTAAAACGCTTTAACGGTCTAAAAATCGCGATATATCCCGAATTAAACCGTTAATGTGTTTTATTTAAACATAACTGTAAATAAAATCGATGTAGCAGTCACCGATATGTGTCTGTCCCATCCCTCATCTACGAAAGGGTATTTTTTACCATATCGTTTTATATAAAAATTTAAATAAATGTTATTTGTTCTACCAGGGTACCAGTAAGAAAGATAAGTTGCATCGTCGTCTCGCCCAGCTATACAACAAGTCTATGGACAACGTGGACGTTTTCACCGTTTTCGGGAAAATGACTGTCAAGGATGAATTCTTGGACGTACGGTTCTCCGCGCATGGCTCACCCTACTTCGAGCCTGAGAAGCTGGACAGCATGGTCATAGGGATACAGGAAAAGGTAGGTTATTGCGAAACTCTTTGATTAAAGACAAAAATTAATAAGACGTAAATTATTGTTCAAATAGTACACAAGCAAGATAGCTTGTATTTTACTTAAAAACTTTCAAAGTATAAAAGTCATGTGGACGGCAAAAATATTTGAAGAATTTCGTTTTTTTCGCAAGTAAAAATTTTTAAACATGTTATAATAAAACTAAATGCTCGATAACCTATGTTTGAATCCCGGTGTTGTATAATTCTGGCTGGGCACAAAAGTCTTTAGACATCCAACACTTGTCTTTAAATAATTACCGATTAGGGAAACCGCTCTGGGGCATGGGACGAATACATTTCTGTGTCCGTTTAACTGATCCGTTCCTTTAACGGGCAAGTTGATCAGACTTCTGTGCCCTGCCCGACCGAAACAAGTTTATGTTTCCCTGGGATTCGAATTCCGGACTTCTCGCGCTTAACGCAATGCTAAGCAATACGCTTAACCATTTGGCTACAGAGGCGGTCCCACATACGTAACGAAAAGTGACATAAATTTTTTTGCATTTTACTAACTCGATTTGAGTTGTATTTTTTGGAGAATGAGAACTATAACAATTAACGTACTTTGACGGCATTTCTAGGCTATCTAGCTGCAAAGCTTTGGATCGTTCCCCTCCGGGAGAAAGTTCTTCTCTCAAAAACCTTGTGTATGGACATTTTCTGTCCTTATCAAATCCCGCTTATCAGATAGACTTTACTTTCATTTTATTTTACTTAAATTTATTTTTTTAGTTTATTAAATACATCTATTTAGTCTTATTAAGTATAAGAGATCGTTCATAGCAAAATGGCCGCCCGGTGCCAACGCTGAAAAATTTTATCGGTGTTGTCTTGTCTTAGAGAAATGTTTTAAATATATACTTGTAGGTGCTGTTGGAAATTAAAATTCAAAGTATCTATGTAATAAGTGATAACATTCATTCTACTTTGCAACAGTGCAATGTTAGTCAAATCACGTCCTCTTAAACATACAATGTCGAATAGAAGCCCCATTTACATGACAATTATTTGAAAATGTAGCTTCAAATAATGCTTTGAACAGTACAGAGGATTCAATTGAATATCGCTCGGAGCAAAATGGCGATACCTGGTATTAACCGAATATTTTGATGCCCATGGTAATAATTAAAATGTTTCAATCACAGTTTATATGCTGATCTTTACTATTTACATAGCATTATTAACTATTAAACTAATTGGGATGCCCAAAATAACGATTCTCGCGGACGAAGTCGCTGGCACAGCTAGTGAATAATATAAAAACTTATGGAAAGAACACTCCCGCAAATGTCCTGTACAGAAAAAGGACTACACACTTACAGCACAAGACAGTCATATTTCAACTGTACTTTTGTAATTTTCATAGGGCACATTTTTCCTGTTTTCAAGAACACTCTTTATTCAAAGAGTGTTCTTTTAGATAGAAGATGTCACTCTTCTTGTAGAAGAAGAGTGATATTAAATTATTGGCGATAACCCAAGACACCTGAGTCATATAACACCTACTTCCAAACAACGGGCCGGTCGAATAAACATTTTAATAACAATTGCGAATGGCGAAAATAACTTTTTGACTGCCACAGGATTCGAACCTTGAACAGTGGGGACTGAATACGAGCGTACCGAACAAGGCAGTCAGTTTTCACTTCGTTTCTTTAACCGTAATTTCGTTGAGTAATTTTAAATCTTGTTTTTTAGTGCCTTAATTCTTAAAACATTATTACAAAACACTAAAAACGAAATCGTTTTTAGTGTTAAAAGCGATATCTTTAAAATCATTTACAATTAAATGCACTTCCAGTTGATACTTTAATATGAAGCTCTAATTACCTTCTCACGTTTAAAGTTGTTTAAACTTTGCTCCGGGGAATGCTACGGAGAAAATATTTTTCTCTTAGAGCCGTCGGTTGCTACGTAACATCTGTAATGACCTCGTTAGTGACATAACGAGAATCGAAGCGGCTTCCAGTCAGCTTCAGGATGCCGTGATTTTGTTATGAAAATAGTTATTGTAAACTAGCTGTTTGCACCTTAATGATTCGTTAAACTTATTTGAACATTACTTTAAGGGCTCTACTTTAAATTATTTACAAATAAAATTTAACTAATATATATCGCGTTTTAAACCATTAAAGTATTTATTTAGTTGCAGTTCACATAGAAATATGCGAAGTTTAAACGCGTTACGGTTTAAGTCTATCAAACAAACATTAACTTAATGTGATCTTATATGGCTGGGTTATTCCACCTCCCATCAATTGAAGTCCACGTTTGTCTGTCCTTCTCTGTCATAAAAATGGTGTCTAAAATTCATTTTTGCAACATTTTAAAATGTATCTGTGTTTTTGTGTGAACAGCTAGAAGAAGAGCTGCAAGCTAGAATCTACATGGTCAAGATCGACGAATGTCTCATTGAGAAGGAACAATGTGAGGACGCCTGCCGAAACGTCCTGACCAAGAATAATGTGCCTCTGTCCGTTTATACGAATACTACGAGTTTTGTGGGCGTGTCAGCCAGGGTAGAGTCTGAATGCACTTGCGATGTTGAAGAACCGCTCGTTTGCTTGAACGGAGGTGAGTCAATTGATTTATTTATAGCTAGTAGCAGTCATTAAATTGCTGCTATGTAATAACTGAAAATAGTTTTACTATGTTTTTGTTTTAACAATATGAAATATTTAATTTATTTCTATTAAGATTTGTTTGCCATCATGGTGGCTTACCAATGGCTTACAGAGAATCCTGGTCAAAGGTCATTTTAGAGATGGTTACTGTATTCACTCATTCAGTTCTCCATTGGATTGTGTCTCCGTACTTCGAAAGTATATTACGCTAGGGATGGTTGGTTCCAATTCCTAAAGACTACTGAGAGATACTTTACGAATAAACAAAAAATTTCACAACTAACTTTTTGCTATTATTAACAATATCGATAATATCTATAAGTAACAACTGTTTACAAGATATACCCTTATCCTACAACGTATTAATAAATATTAGTCCTAAATCATCTGAAATTACTTATTATGAGTGTCTTCTCCAGGTACCCCATTCGCGGACAAGTGCGAATGCCCCGAAGGCTGGAACGGTCCCCATTGCGAACAGACATCAATCGCTTTCCACGGTAACGGCTGGGCGATGTACCCGTCTCCCCCGGCGTGCCACGAGGGGCACGTCACCCTGACTGTGACGTCACACTCCAGCAACAGCCTGGTCTTCTATCTGGGGCCTCTGAGATATAACCCTCTACTTGATGTACAAGGTAAGACATTCATCTTACACGTGTCGGTGACGGGCAAATCGCAAGGGATGTTAACTTATCTAAGATGTAAGGATACACTGCTTCTTCAGCCCCTCCCTGACCACGACCATTGCAAATCATTCGAAATGTAGGGTCCGCCTCTTAAATAGATTTTATTTCAAAGGGAAGTATTTGATTAGACGGTTGTTTCCCGGAATTCGAACCCATCTCGTAATGTAATGTATCGTAATTTTAATAACACGTTCATTAAAATTCGTAGTTAGCTTTTAAATGATAATAATAGTAAGCCACAAAACTTCGTCGATTAACCTATAAAATGATCTCATATAACGAAAGTTATACAAATATTTTGCTTCCGTCAGCATCCTTAGAAAGTTAACCAGTATCCAATCTGTGTGTTCCAACAAATATTGCAATAAATATCGCAAAATGAAAACAACGATAAAACATATTTATAACTTCAGCGCAGTACGGATTTATCCTTCTTATTGTTTTCGAAGCGTTTTCTTTAATGTTTTATATTGAAGCCGAGCTTAAAGCCGGACAAGTAAGCTATTAAAACTGCGAACTGAATGCTGTATTTGCGCCATTTTCGTTGTAAGGAATTCATTCATTTTGTTCACTAATGCTTTCGGTAAACAGACGTTTTTAATATGCATACGCGCCATAATGTTTCACGAAGCGAGACTTTTCAATCCAAGTATTTTTTAAGCTCGAAAGTGACGTTTTCGATTTGGAAGCACTGATGAAGATTGATTAATACCAAGTGGTTAAACAAATTGCGTTAAGCGCGACTGATCCTACGAAAACAAAAATTAAACCAATTATGAATGAGTTAACTAATAAAACAAGCGTTTAAAATCGTTGAAAGTGATTTGTTCGAACACGAAAAGTTTTAAGGGTTTTAAAGGTGCTAAAAGAATATAGAATTAATCGTACACTCACTTGAATGAAGATTGAGAGGAACGAAGAGAACGTACACTTTAACGGTTTAAAACGAAGTATATTTGTTAAATTTTGAAAATTATTATACAGTCTGCCCGTAACCACGGCCGCTGCAAAGCTTCCGAAACGTTCGGCCGTAGTTAAAATAATTTTCAAAGAAGTTTAACTAATATACTTCGCATTTTTAAACCGTTAGTGTTTTATTTAAAGTGTACTTCTCGCGTTAACTACAGACAGAAGATTTTCTATACCAAAGGCACCCCAGACGCCCCCTTGCAAATGAACTGCACCGTGGTGGAAATCGATAAGTGCTTTATTTGCACTGGTTGCAATCGACACAAATTAGATCACTCCGACAGAGTTAAGTAGCCTCACTCCACAAGATTGCCAATTTGGCACCGGCTAAAGAATATTTGCTTTGTCGTGCCAAGGCAGTAATGACGCTATTTTTATATGCTTGATAACGATTATGCTAACACAGAAATCCTATTTCACTTATGAGGCTGATACATCCGTGTCTAGTTCACAAACAGCAACGTCCAGTATGTCTAATGAACGGGTCGTGGCTTCGATTTTTCACCGGGTCTCACATGTATTTATATATTTTTTTGAAGATCTGGATGTTCATAAATGCTGGTATGAGTCAGTGAAATCCCGTTTCCCCTCGTGGGGCATGGGGCGAACACACATCTGTGTCCGTTTCAGTGATCGGTTTTATTTACAGGCAATTAATTGATCAGACTTCGGTGCCCTGCCCGACCCAAACAATTTACTGTTTCCCTGGGACTCGAACCCAGGACCTCTTGCGTTTAACGCAATGCTAGGCAATACGTTTAACCATTTGGCTACAGAGGCGGTCTAGTTTAGATGTATAGGACTTGAATGTTCCTCATTCATGATTTTATGTCCTCTGGCTTAAGAAATATATAGAAATAAACTACGTGCCTTATTTAAGGCGATGAAAAAATTTTTTGTGGAAATACTTATTTTTTTGAGATGAAGATCGACAGAGAGGCTATGCCAGGTCATTTGATGATGAAATATCCCAGCTGTATAACATCTAAACAAAGATGGTGGCTCGTGACCCGGAGGGATTCGATGCTACCAGCCATCGAATCAGATTTCCACACGAAATCTGACATCTTAAAAAAAATAATTTGAAACAAGTTGGAGTGGGGATCGAATCCACGACCCGTTGATTATTCGCCATACATTGCTACCGTTGAGTCGTGGGGTAAATGGCGTGATTAGTTAAATTTAACATTACAAAGTAATATGGTACTTAGTACAGTATTGGTGAACCAGTTAACCTCGTCCTGTATTTAAGTAAAATCAGCCGACAATGTTGCCAGCAATGAACATGTCCCCGATTCTAGTTGAATAATGGTTTCCGACGTTCTTTAATACTAGAAATTTAGTTTTATCCCTCGACTGGGGAGCAATAAAAACTTTTGTCACGTAAACGAAAGCGAATTTGGTAAATGTTATTTTATTTTTACTGCTTGAATAAGCTGTCTCTTGCAATAACAATTTCGGTTTATTTTATTCGTGCTCGGTCAAATGTTTGTATATATTAAGAGAAATAATGGTACTAGTGTAGGGCCCTTGAATATTTCTTTTTGGGAGGTTAATAAGACTTAAAGATATAAGAGAGTATCAGTTTTTAGATAAATCCATGTTACTCAAATTACTTTTACCAAATCCTTGGTTTATAAATACCTACTGTTTTATTTTATGAAAACAGCGCTAAACTCTAGAACTAGACTTCTACTTGAATGGCTAGGTGAACACAAAATTCATGATTATTTTAAATATTCTCCTTTAATTAAGTAAGCAAACATATATACGTACGTATTTTTATATATCGAGAAAAAATAAGCAAAAGAAAATTGCTGTTACTTTTAAGAACTACGCACTACCTATAGCCAAATCTTGAGACACAAACAAAAAAGATACAAACAAACAAACATTTTCTTATTATTGTATATTTAGCCCGTTCTCCTCCACCATACCTACGATTGCATTATGTTAGGAAAATGACCTCAAATCGAACAATCTAGATAAAAACTTAATACCGCTTTCTTACGTACGTCTACGCTGGGTCTAGTAATGATTTTTTAATGATTCGGTAATGACTGACAGTCGCGTGCTATGATTTATGAACCGTCGCGTGTTATAGCCTTGTAAATACATTATCACTCGTTATTCTATGGATTATAAGACTCAACTATACTTTGTCCAAAGTAGGGTGATAAGTTTCACATACCTACAAATAAAGCAATGTGTATGAAATTCATTTTCCCCCATTTAGGGGGCGGGCACAGCTCTATGGTTGCTTACAATTTAATTTTTATCTTCGAAAATCTACTTATATTTACGATTCGCCAGGATTGAAACCAAGGTTAGGCTAGGTAATACTTTTAATACGGTCAGCGTCGGGTACAACAAACCACAAAGTGAAATAATATCTAAAAAAATATATTAGCTTTATTAATATAATAATGTTGGTGGCCATTTTGTAAAGCTTCTCAGCTCGATACAAGAAGAAGATTTAAATTTTAGTCCTAAAAATATTTTCTTTATTTGTTTTTAATATTAAGCAATAAAATAGTTTTATTTTTCATATATAAAGTAACTTTATACCCGTTATAAATTGTTAAAGTGATTGAATTTCATTATATGTTGCACGCAGTATACGGCTTTTCCGTCAAGGGAAGGTTGGTGACCTAATCTCTTATTCTTGAGCATAAATAATATAACGCTTCTATAAGGCTCACGATTTTCCTCTGGCGTTACACTAAGATTTATCGAGGTTTAAGTACCTACTTAGGTATCTCTTAGACTACTTCTCTTTCACCCTTTTGATTATAATATTCTGTAAGTTCTTGTAAATATAATTAAATTGGGTATATTTACAGAAGTTAATTTACGAAGGTGTTGCTTGGCATTGCTATAAGCGAGAGAGGTCCTGGATTCGAATCCCGGTTAAACAAATATGGGACACTGAAACGTTCGACACCGAAATCTTTTTTTCTAGTGACAAATAATTTTATAACTAAATTTCATATTGGCGCAACTGTGCTTAGTGCAGAGCCATGAATGTATATCTGTTAAAAAATAATTATATATATTTAATAATTTTCACATGATGGCACTATATACATTAAAAATTACATAACAAAATTTATTTCTTTAATTTAATTATTAAATGACTATAGAAATTGAATACATACTAGTCTCAGTTTTAATTTATTCAGTACAAAATATCGGAACATATTATCCAAAGATCTCCCCCTTTTACCATAATATCCACTTAACAGCTTGAAAGTTCTTCCCATAATTGTCTATATCCTCAATCCCTAATATGATTAACCTCTCAAGATTGTTTGTGTGTATAATTCGCAGTACGTAGGGTGTTCCCACGAACTCCGTCCAAGTTGTACCAGAAAGCAATTGTATAATAACTTCGCTTCGTTATTTGTTGGCGAAGGCGGCACTTTTGTTTGTTTGTAATTAATATTCGTCGGAAAGATAACACCGGAGAACAATTGATGTTCCTTCACGGCAAATGTTGTTTTAACCCTACTTGATGTATTGAAATTTAATTATTCCACAAACTTTGCAGAAGATCTCATTATCTTAATTTTCATTGAATACTTATGGCGTTTATAGGAAATTTATGCTTTAATTAATTTCCGTGGAGATGTGTACCAGCATTATTCACACAGCAGTTATTATTTACATCAACATTTTTATGTGTAAGAAAATAGGTGTGCTTCAAAATAAACCTTAACCTTGTTTAATAAATTGTGTAAGGGATTCACTGCCATCGTTCAGCATATCATTGTTTTTCGGCCTGTTCGGCCGACGTTAGCGAGAATAGGAACTCGTCGTTCGCCATCACGAGTAGACGGCATCATCAGGAGATGTTAGCTCCCCGACTGCTCTGAGAGTTTGTCTAGTAATTCTAATTCTTCTTTTTTGATTAATAAATATATTTAAAAGAGATTCTCAAATAGCGTAGCATAAATAAAAACCAGATTATTTTGATGATCAAGAGCACTTAGACGATGTTTTAAATGTGTTTAATGACTTCTGTTTGTTCGCTTAGAATAATTCTAACATGAATATTGTTTACTCAGGTTCAGTATGCACTAACAGACATTTAAAAAGCAATAAGAGCTAAGTTGTAGCTTGAATTTGAGCCAAATATCGCTACATAACCGTTCGCACATAATCGCTGCGGTTCCTAATAGCACTTGTAGCATTATAAGCTTGCTGCAGCTAATTGGAACAGCATTAAGTTCATAACACGCCACAAAACGGCACTTCACCAAACCGTGGATGCCTTACTGTAGTCATTTTCTGGTTTTTACGGGTTTCAAATGTGTTGTTTATGTATGAGATTTGTACGTATTTGTAACATCTATTGCCAGTGAATTTACAGATCATGTCTTCCGCGTTTTAAACCGTTGTGTGTTCACTTTTCGTGTCATGTTTTTGTACGATAGCGCAATAAATGAAGTGTTTAATAATAAAGTCTTCCACTGGGGTGTAACCCGTGATATTTTGTATATTTAATATCTTCAGACTATGAATTTACAAATTTTCACGGGACAAATATTTTCTTTATTATAGATTAATCTCTGGACGGTCGTTTGTGATTACGGCTTAATCCACAGAAAAAATATTAATTGATTATAGAAACATATTGGACCCAGTGGGCAACGAACCCACGACCCGTTAATTGGCGTACATCGCTACCATTAGACCAACGACCTCGTCGAATATTTTATATGACACTAGCAATTTAACCTCCGAAAAACATCGAACCCAGGACCTTCAATAACCAATCAACTCTATACGACTCTCTAGTGGCAAGAAAAAACTTGCAAATTTCGTTGTGATTTGACCTGCACGAAATAAAACTACATATTGTTTTTATACCATTTCGCTGAAACTGAAATAGTAACGAACGAAGAAAATGCTAAACAGGTCTCCTGTAGAACCACGAAAGATAGTATTCGCATTTGAAACCGTGTTTGTATAAATTTGTAAAATTTACCATAGCATTTGTTATGCTGTATATTTCAACATAACATCTTATTTCAACTGAAATTATGAAGACTTGTCGTTCAGTAATCAGTTTTCATAAATAACAAAATATACAAGATCTGTAGTTTTTGGCCTTTGCCTTTTTATATTCGTATGCATTAATACATCGCCAGTGGAGGTTTCAAATTTATTAATAAATAAGTTCAAAAAAGTAATTAAATTTAGATTGTCTCAAAAGGCGTATTATTTGAAAGGATTTCGTTAATGACAGGATTGCCTGGTAGTGATATGAATTGCTCCTTAGGTCATAAAATTCACAAAAATGTATTAGTTTGTAAGACATGTTGAAAAAGGCAAGACTGAGTTTGTCTATAGTTTAAGCGAGTAGTACACATTTAAATAAAACACTTTAACGGTTTAAAACGCGATATATTAGTTAAACTTATTTGAAAATGATTTTTAACTAAAAATACTGTCAGTAGTTTACTACTGACAGTACTCAACCGGTATTTTTATTAATGACAACGACTAGACCGTTGTTTGTGTTTGAGCGGTGAAGAATTAAGTACGAGTACTAATAAAAAATCGGTTATAAATTTGAAAAATTACGACACGCACCTCGCGCCATATAATATAATTTACATAATAGTATTATTAATAAACTTTCATTTGTTACAGACTTCATGTCCCTAGAACTGGTGGACGGTTATCCAATCCTCCTGGTGGACTACGGCTCTGGCACCACGAAGCTGAACAACAGCGTGGTGCACGTCGCCGATGGGAAACCTCATCTCATAGAAATTGTTCTCATGAAGAGCTCCATAGAAATGTTCGTGGACAGATGCAAATTGTCCACTTGTATGAGCTTGGCGGCGCCTATAGCCCCGAGGCAAATCCTAAATGGTAAGACTTCACACAAATTGTATATGCTGACATAGTGTGTTCGTTGTGGCAAGAAAAGTTCGTTTGTGATGACGATTAATAGGAGTGTAGTACATAATTTTAGCCCCTTGAAAAACAAGCAGTTTCCTAATGTAACAAATAAATCACTATTATTCATAAAACCTTAGTCAAACATTCAATGACATACTCCTAGTAAGTTTTTTCATGATCAGTGAGACAACATGGCGTTCAATTGATGGAAGGTGAAATATTTCAGCCCTACAACATCTCAACAAGATGCGCTGTCTTCCTATTTTTGCTTAACATAATCGGATATCCATAGATTAAAATTGAAACGCAAAATAATTTCTCGGCTTTTTACCTGTGGCCATCCGTGAGCTGGACGGAATTTCAACTGCTTTTCACTGCCACCAAACCAAACGAGGCCTTCAAATTTTATCAAAATTCAGATAAAATCGATTTAACAAAAATATAAAAATATGTCGCTTGAACAAAAGTAGACAGAAGTTCTTTGTTTGTTTAAATAACTTCCACGTCATCAAAAACGTTTAGTATCAAAGTATATACAGAAATACTATACTAGTTTATTTTTAGGATTTTCGTATGCTGAAACTAGTTTTATTTTCTTTAAATGTATACAATGAATTTTATTATTTATGCAAATGCGTCACTAAATTGTGGCTTTTCGCAGTAAACGGACCACTGCAGCTGGGTGGCGCCAGTATCGACTTGCAGGAACTAGCCCGCTCCTTCGGTTGGCAGCACGTGCCCACGAACCAGCATTTTATGGGCTGCATCAGTAACTTTACGTACAACGATTATGTAAGTCCATTTTTTATTTGTTTACTTAGTATTTTCAAATGAGACATCTTTCTCTTTGTTGGTAGCTGCTTTCATCTCTTTGTTGGTAGCTGCCGAGTCCTACACGTCCTTTCAACCTATTGAACCTATTACCTACACCAGAATATGGGTTTTATTATTTGTAGTTTATACCACTTTACTTCAAAGAATGTGGCTGCTGAAAAAACATTCGTTGGGTCGTGGTTTAATATAAAAATACCAATATATTTCGCGTTTAAAGCTGTTTTGATTTATAACTTCTTCATTGTTTTTTACCTTCATTCTTAATTAATTTAATTTGAGGTAGACTTACTACGGAGACAATTTATAAGAGAAATTAATAATTAATAAATGTACAGTTAATAATATTTAATTTAAAACACGAAACAACATTTACAAGCGATAAACTTATTTATCCACGTACAAAATCACTCACACTGCTAGTTACGCCGTAAAGTTATTACGAGAAATAAAACGGCAACAGAATTACGCGTAGAATAAAATTTAATGCACACAGCTTTTGTTTATTTAAAAGCTATCTCAGTGGATTTCCCTAAAGCACTGTAAAGCGTTTCGCTAAAAGATTGTTCGCTGTTCATCCGAAACTAAGTTAGGTAACACTTTGGATATTAGGTGTCCTGTGATTTTATGCATAGTTGTTCCGAATACAAAAGGAATTTAAATAAGACACTTTTAACGGTTTAAAACGCGAAATGTATTAGTTTACTTATCCCACCCTCTACCACGACCTCGCCGCCATGGCTGCTGTAAAATAGTTAGAATTAATTCTAAATAACTTTAATTAATAATTAATTAACTAGTAAATTTTGTGTTTTAAACCGTTAAAAGTGTTTTATTTAAATGTGTACGACTCGCGTAAACTGCAGACAACACTTTACGGAACGAATTATATTGTATACTATGATAATTTGACGGCGGTTAACTTAAAATTTTCGATCTGTGAGTGTGTGAGGTCAGCGATTCTGTTCCCGGTTGTGCACAGAATTCATTTGTTTCGTCTTAAAAGTAAACATTTTACCAAATGCTCAGTTGTTATTGATTTTTTCAATCCGAGGTATTTACCTACTATAAACTATTTATTATATGTATATTAACTTATTGTTTAATAATCTTTGATTTATAGATGTACAACTTGGGCAGGCCATCAGTGGAAGTGAATGCAGACCCTGGGTGTCAAAAGAGTGTGTTCACGGCCGTCACCTTTGGAATCGACACTAATTTCCTCGTCGCTATACTTGTGTGCATCGCTATATTAGTCAGTGAGTATTGTTCTATATATTACTTGCACTGCAAAATAATCGACGAAATTATACCAAATAATAATAATACCAATACCAAAATATAATAAATATAATGGTACTGTAAAAAGGCTGTGTTTAAAAATGAATTCCTACTTATTTGATACTTTCATATGATTATAGCAAAGCATTAGCTACTTAAAGTTTCAGCAAGAAAAACCACATTTAGTTTCAGGCAGGTATCCAGCCAAATCCAAAAATGATTAAGAGGTTTTCCTTAGACTAAAAAAAAACTACTAGACTTAAACATTACGATAGTGATATATTTATTTATTTAATTACAAAAATTCCTACCTATATGTAAACATTTCGTTTCAAAGAAAGTGTTTAGCATATTTGCAAAGCTTCTTTGTAAAGATACTAATGAGAGATTTGTTTCTTTTCTTTAATATTTTAATTTAAAGTACCAAAAAAAGAACTTCATCGCTCTCTATTCCGCGAACATTCTTTCTTAAAGTTACGATCGCTTACCTTAAAGCATTGATACAATTCGAATCGAACCAATCCATTGAGATGGTTCACGAAAATCCTAGGGCTTTCACCATAATTGATTCGTATCTTCCGAAACCTGCTTAGGTCTAAAAGTTCTCACAAGATCGAGGGAAATGGCTGGAAAACTTGCAAACATATAAATGGATTCTTTTCTTTTTTCTGATATAGTACTCTTGGCAATAATTTTGTAATGTCCTACATTTATTCAAAGTTGTAGTCAACTATTGTGACATGAAATGTCATCGTGCCGAAAGATTTATTGTCCATAGTGGTATATCAACTAATTTCCCCTTCCTCGATCAGAAAAGACATGGTCTGCTTATTTTTAATTACTACTTATTATTAAAAAACTATTAATTTACGTTACTTATTATTGTAATTAATTTATATTATATCATACTTGACTGCTTTTATTTTTTAACAGAAGCCGGTCTGTGACTTTATGGTTCAAAAAAAAAATCTTACCAACGGCGCCATCTGTTGACACAATTTGTTATTAATTGACCTTAATAATTAAGAACCTTCTCTTTTTCAGTTCTCTTGCTAGCGGTGGTAGTGCACAGACGTCGAGCGGACGCTTGGGCTGAGAAAGAGCTTGATGACATTAGAGAGAACATCATCGCATATGAAGATGAAGGTGGCGGTGAGGGAGATGCTGGTTACGACCTTCACGTGCTGCGGCAGATGTATGATGGACCACCTCCGGAGACAGATGTCGCGTTCCTGCAAGCGCCTGGTAAGTTCTAGTCATCTAAATAAAACACTTTAACGATTTAAAACGCGAAATATATTAATTAAACTTATTTGAAAATATATTTTAATTACGGCACCAGGTTTCAGTTGCTATGCAGCAGGCGTGGTTACGGTTCAAATCAGTTTAACTAATATATTCCGTGTTTTAAACCGTTACATTGTTTCATTTAATGTGTACTGTCGCGTTAACTGCAGACAGTATTGAGTTCTAGTCATGTTTATTCAACTCATATTATAAATATAGTTTTGTGCTAGCCATAATTAAGGTTCCTATTTATATGAACTCAAATTGTGGCTAGATTACATCATATACCCAGGTATAGAATTTCCTATTGACCTCGAGGCCTAGTTTATTTAAACATTAATAACTGACTCCGACGTTTTTAACACAGGTATGGTCGGCGCAGCGCCAGATATATCTGGATTCCTCGACGACAAGAAATCCGTCCTAGACCGCGATCCTGAGATCACTCCGTACGACGACGTGCGGCATTACGCGTACGAGGGAGACGGCAATACTAGCGGCTCTCTCTCATCATTGGCTAGCTGTAAGTGACCTTTTTCCATAGTTTTTTTCCTATAAAGTTCTACTCGCAAGGAACGGCTTCTAAGAGACCCGCCAAGCTGCTCTATTCTGAGTTGGATTTTTCGACTACCGTCACCAAATTGATGGCGATAAACACGTAGACTGGTTAGAGGTTAAAAAAACTTAAACAAGAAAGTTATAATGGAATTCAAATACAATTCAAACCTTGTCACCTACAAATTGTATTAACTACACCATATTGATTATTGTTTTTGATTCGTTCTTAGTAAAAAAATGGTGGTTTTTATAAAGATATTGTTTATCTTAACTTACTGAATATTAACCATAATCTCATATACTCTAACGTTAAAAAAAAACGAATATAACCCCATAATGGCATTTTGGTATTTGTAATAAAAACATATGTAATCACATCTATAGCTATTTAAAATATAACTTCTCGAAACTTGAACATAGATGTCTCAGAAGAAAATATACACTACAACTAAAAGAGCTATTATAATCTTTCGTATCCGAAATCGAAAAATTAATATCGCGGCTAGTTCTCCATTTGTTGAGGCAACATTTTTCATCTCAATTCCATTTACGTTCGCATCACTCGAGCCATGGTATCTAGTACCCGGCTAAGCACAAGTTCAATACACGAGGTGTCAATTTCCTTGGCCCCCAGCCGAGTTGCACATGCCAAAAGCGATTTATGTAAGTGTTTAAGCAATTTTGGCACGAGACTGATTTATTGTGCCATTCGTTTAGAATAAATTGTTTCATTTGCAAAATTGTATTATTGTAGACATATATTTTATAGAGTTTACTATTTCCACTTCCCCTTGCTTTTTGATCAGTTTAAGTTTAATCGCGTTTCGGTTTCCGACTGGATTTTTGAATATCCAAAGCTGAAATAGATCGATAGCACACCTTGTCGAACTGTTATGTGGCTGGGTTATTTCTGTTCCCATCGAGTGAGTACCGTGTTTGTTTGTCCTCTATCATAAAAATTCTACAGCATATCTAAAAAATTGGAAAAGTAGCATATAGAAATTAGACACATAGTGTAGCACATAGTATATAAATAAGACACATAAGACACGCGCGAAATAATAACTGATTCTAATAATAGAGTTTCGCATACATTAAAGAAGTTTCCAATATGTACAGCTTTTTCTAGTCTTTTGACAGAGGAGTACAAACAAACAAAGGTTTCATTTGATGGAAGGTGGAATACTATCGACATAATATGTATCTATTTAAGAAGCGTTACCGACCGTTACTCCCTTTGGACATTCAGAAATATTAAATTTTCGGTTTTATACATGCGGTTCGTGACAATATCGATATTCTAGCTACCCATTTAACGTTTTCTACACAATATCTAAAACATTTAATATTTAATAAACATAATAGACTCAGTGAAAGTCAGATTTACGACCTGTTGGGACCTGACAGGACCCGGGTGTACTGCCAAGGTATAGAACTTAAGACCTTCATTTTCAGCGCAATGAAAACAATGCAGAGGCAGCCCTTAACATAATATTGTGCCATCAAACATTTCTAATTTAGGTCACTCAAATATTCATGCGTAAAACAGTGTGGCTATTTTGAATATAAAGTAGTGTGCGGGAATCCCGAGTTAGAGTTAACTACCCGACCGTACCCTTTAGGCAAGGCCAGCTAAATAAATACAAAACTTATTTTCGTATCGAACATACGCTTAAAATAATATGTCATGACGGGCGCGTTGGTCCAATGTACATCCAATAATCAACGGGTCATTCAGTTTGAACAAGTTAATCATCAATTAAATTTTTTTCTGAAACATGTTGGGATTTTTGACTAGAAGTATGGATATTAAATGGGTGGAATACCGAAAACTGACACAGTCCATAAATGAAAAAGAAATGAAATGAAATGATAACGAAAATAGTAAAATAGGTCGACAACATACCTTATTTAGATGTTAAAAGGCTGAGGTATTTCACTACCCATCAAGTGACTCCAATGCTTCTTTGTCTTCCTCTATCCTGAAAAAAACGTGTGAACAAGACTCACGAACTAGTATATTTTAAAACAATAAAAAAATATGTCGGACGTTTTGGATGCTTTACACCGTGGTCACGGGGGACGAAGCATCCGAAACGTCGGGCCGTGTACATAAATTAACAATTAAGCTTTATATATTTCGCTTAAACCGTCACAAGTGTTTTTAAAAGTGCAAACTACTGATAAAGAAACATTCTTAAACAAACCACAGCGATTAAGTTAAAAGAGGGATGGATATATATAAAATCTTTGGGAGATCAGAAATTTGTAGTAGTAGAGTTTTTATCGAGTCCTCGCTGATTACAGTAATTGCACGTTTCACTCTGAACGCGTCGCCCAATGAGCCGAATGACGTGCGATACGTAAAACGAATAATTAACTTCGCATTTTGTCCGTTTTATATGCGTTCTGTTGGTTACCACACGGCATTGATGCCTGATTTCAGTACATTGCGGACGATATCAGCGGCCTTTTATGTCGAAGCTATCACAAAAGCAGATGAATGCACGCTTAATATGAATTTGCATATCGGTATTGTAATAATTTTATTATTCAAGAGTATTCGAATAAATACAAATTAAGTAACGCGCGACAATGGCAAAGCATCGAAATCTATCTAACTCATATAATTCGCGTTTAAAACCAGCCGGTATAGTAACGAATGCCCTTTTGATAAATTTAACTTCGTCACATAGATCTTTAGTTATAGGAAAACAATTTGAAAATGTGAATTAATTGTCGTTAGTTTATACAGTTGATATGTATTGACCGCCCACAAAATTTCTTACAAACTAAAAACTAAATCATTGTTCTTTGCAGGTACCGATGATGAAGACCTAAAATTCAACTACCTATCCACCTTCGGACCTCGGTTCCGCAAACTAGCAGACATGTACGGCGACTCAAACGACGACAGGGCACCCCATGAGGAATCTTGGTGCTAGCACCACGCCTGGCTCGTGTAGCCACACCAAGTCACATTCGTGTAAGCACCGAACTGACTGTGCTATTTGACTTTGTGGGCTGGTGGAGATGCCTTATCGCCGGTTAGTGTTGTGTTGTGAGTGACCCCACCGGAATCGACGCCTGTGATAACGTCACATACTTTTGGTCCATGGCGTTTAGTTAAGGTAGGCACGTTTCCACAAGCAAAATGTGGCAGGATTTATTGTCATCATATTTTACTTACAATATCTTGCTTTAAATGTTGTCATTACGAATTATATTGTGGGTACAACGCCTTAGTTTGCTGTCAAAGGGCGCGGGTAGATTGATATTATGTGTTGTCTACATGTTCTAAGTGTACTTATTGATTTATTTTTACTGTCTTAAATGAAACTTTTCATGTATTTTGCGATTTACCACCACACAACTATTTCGAATGGAACCGGCGTGAATTTCTCATTGGGTTCATATTCAATATTTTGTTGGTCTACCCGCACTTTTCTGTCAATCGCTTCTAACTTTAAGGAATTACAATTAACAAAAAATAAATATGGCGGCGAAAATTCCTAGTGAATTAGAACAATTCAATCGAAATGTGAAAATTATATCCCATTTTCGATAAAGCAAATGTTAATATGTTTTAAGAATTGACTGATTTGTATCGTTGTTTAGGCATCGTTGTAGATACGCCTAAATTATTTCTTGTATGTAATTTTATAAATAAAACTTAAGAAACATTACTTATAGTCTACATTAAGTTAGGAAATACTGTATGTACTGCGATTTTTTTTATTTTGTATGGTTGTAAATTATTATAAAAAACATGGTTTTCACATCATAGTATTACGACAGCTAAAGTAAGATTTTACTATTAAGTGCCATTATTTTCCTTTCAGTGTAGTAAAATGTAATTTTCGTTTTTGGTTACTAAAATTTTGCCAGCATTGGTGATAGGATCCCGCCCATTTTCGTAAAATTTTTGTTTAATACTTTAGTATTAAGTTATTTTTTTACTTTTTTATGTTAACGATTGTCGCTCGACTTGCGTTGTTTTTATACATTAATTTTGTAACGATATCGTCCAGTTATGAATATGGTGCATTTAAAATAAAAGATTAAAAGGACAAATATTAGTTTCTTGTTTATAAAATTACCTCTTCGCGTTCGAGTTTTAAAGAATTTATTGCAATCATTGACAACACGATTTGAATTAAATAATTCATTAGATCTATGTACTGTAAATATGTAAATTGCATCCTTATTCACTACATAGTAATTTTTTATGACTAATATAAGGCGATTGTACAAGGTGTCTTATAATTATGCATATCAACGAAGTGTATGAACTATTCACTAGTATAACTATTACATTTCTATGTCTCTTGGTGTCTATGATCTAACCTTAAAACTAAACACTTGACCGGCTCTCATTTATTTCCAAGACATGATATAAATAGACCAGACCCAAAACTTATAAGACTAAGCTTAGTTCTATTACATTGCGTTATTTAATTTAACCATAGAATTTATTTCGATGTTGCCAATTTAAAAAACTGAATCTATAGGCAAAAACTTTTAACGATTCAATTTTATTATTGATGGGAACACCGTTGTCACCACGAACATTTCTCAAAACACCTGTTCAATGAATTTTCTTGCAAATCCCCGCTAGATGGCAGCTGTATTTACGCCTCTAATTACCTATATATGTGGGTCATGCCTTTACGTCATTAATCTTTTTGATTTATTATGTCTACAAAGACTCGCATGGGCTTAAATAGTTAATATAAGGCAGTAAGGTTTAGCGAAATTTCCAAGAGCTTTTAAAGCCCGGTTAAGTCCCTTAAGATGACCTAGTGTTTAAGTTGCGTCTAACAAATATTTCTTTGTTTGAATCGTTGTTTTCGATACTTGTACAAACTTAGATTAGATTTGATATTATAACAGATTTTTGGCATCTCATGACATTTAAAAGGCGTTTACTACTATGTTTTGCCGCCATTTTTGACGTTGACAGTCCGAAACATCGTATTTTTAGCAAATCGATCTCGTATTGTCAATATAATTTAGATACCATATTAGTTTTTATAGTTTCAAATATTTAAAATCAGCTTTTTTATTGTATCCAATAATTTGCGTACAAAGTATAGTTTAGGTATTATTTTTAACAATTGTTTGTAACGTAAGTGTAAGACGTGTTTCTAATTCGTACATTCCAAGAGCAAAATTCATTACAATTGTTGACGTATTTGAATAGTATAAAAATAATATCGGAGCAATTATTCGTACTTAGAAATCGATGGTGGTGAATTATTTATGTAAGTGAACCGCCGATCACCACTTAATTGTGATGATAACCACTGCCATGTGAATTTTTAAGCTAATTTATCTTTATGGTCTCATATTTAAGAATGCTAAGTTCGTTCACAATATTTTGTCGACAGCTAAAAAATCTTGATATGAGACCACAGAGTCGTATTGTTTAATGACGTATGTAAGTGTGTTTGTACTTTATAGATCTATGGCGATGTGCGTATCGGTGTATTGTCTATGGTTTATTACAATTTAAGCGGTTGCAGTAATTGTACATAATTATTGCGGATGTAAAGAAGTTTCTGATTACGTGATTGTTAACATCGCTGTTAAAAAATACAGTTGTATTTCATGAAAAGGTTGTACAGATGTTTTGAATTAAATCACAAGCTCATTAAAGAAACAACACACCATTTATTCGGATTACTTGAGAGATATTTGTTTTGAATTTGTAGATGTTTGTACAGATGATGAAACGTTTTCTTTGCAGGCGTGGCATTGTTACATTACAGCGCTTGCAGAAGCGAATTTGCAAGCATTTGATCCTCATAAATATTCATATTGTAGATCTTGCTTTGTACGGCGGAGCTACTGGGGAAAAGGTCAAGATGGTACTCGGAATCTTTCCGAGATTGGTTATATGAAGGGCGTAAATCTTCAATCGAATTTCGATTCATTTTTTTTATACAGGTAACTTCCTACGACGCCACTAACTCATAGTAAGACTGCTTTAGACGGATTGGAATGCGAATTATATAAGTAAATGATGTATCGCATGCTGTTGCGGTCCAGATTATAATTAACATTTTAACTCCTTTAAACACGTTTTATTTAATCAATGTATTTCACTAAACTTAGCGACTACATTTAACATTTTAATCGTTCGTTGAACTTCTGTGTGCCTATTTTAGAATTGAGATACTATATAGTATTGCTATTGTCATGTAATCAGGAACAAATGAAATGGGTTCGAATGTGTGAAAGAGAAAGCTTATGTAAACGAAAGAGTATTTAATGTGTAGGTTTAAACAGAAAGAAGAGTCCGACTGAAGAATGTCATATTATATTAATTAGGATAAGTACGTATAATTTTTAAATTGTTTATATAGAAATAAAAACGTTCAATTCAGCATTGAAATAAAGTGATGAAATTGATATATTTTTTCATTTATAATTCCTTACTCAAAATAAAATTATAGCTTATTTTCACTGTTTTTTTTTTTTGTAATTCTTACTTTACTAGATGCTTCAGAGTAGTCAATAAAGAACACGTGTTTTATAATTTATTACTTTGTTTTTTTTTTATAGAAGTTGTCTTTTTCGATGAATTCAAACAGAAATTTAATTACGTTCATAAAACCTCTTCTCATAACAGAGCAAAACAAATGATTTCATCTGCGACTAAAATATGAGAATTAACTTTAAATTTGAACAACAATACCGTAGTTTGGTCCCAAATCGCCAGCGTAGGAGCACAATGCAATAGCGTAAATGGGGAAACCGCACAACAGAACTAAAATTTTGAGTAAACTGTTAGAAAGCAACCACCCTAAAGTTTATAGTATTCCGGGCAACGAAATATTGTCAGTTAATTGTGACACTATAATAAACTGGCAATATTTCGTTGTTATTACTAAAAGATTACTTTTTGTAAACTTTAATATTCTTAAATGTTATTGAAAATTATGGCACATTATAAATTAATAATCGATTGTAAATTAAAAAAAAAAATACGAATCGGGCAGGCCTCGATCCACATCGTTCTAGCGCTATGTGCAGGTTGAAAAAATCGACGATCACCTGTAGGACTCGGTACTCGGTAACAACAGCACTGAACGCTGTTTAAGTCCTGCCCGAGTCGTAATTTTTTTCATTTTATTAACGGCTTTTAAAGTATGAAATTTTTTTACATATACAATATCAACCACAAAGAGCTTGCTGAGTTAGCAATGTATGGCTAACCGGATAAAATTATAAATTGTTTTGTCAATAATGATATTTCTGAGACACCTAGAACTTGGAAAATCTGAATATTAATTATAAATCGATATTTTGTCTAGGTCACTTCCATACGCAAACGGTGATACCGTTTGCGTATGGAAGTGGGTGTTATCGTGCTGCGGTTTCAGTCTGTACATTTCCGAATGTTTGACGAAAATAGTTCGACGACCTATCTTGTTTATATGCGTAAGGCATCTTCCATGAAGTAGTGAGAACTTCAACATTACTCTTGAGGCATTATAATTATAACATGATTATATCAATTTAAATATTATTTAAAATTGGAAAAATTTCGAGACGAAATCGATTGATATGAGAGGAGCTATTTTGTGTGTTAATTTGTTTCAATTTAAATCGGTCATATAAAAAAACCCGTTATAACCCGTACAATTCTAAAACCTTTTACTTGAATAGGGTTTTAGAATTTTAAATAGCTCTAAGTAAATTAAAAATATAGTAAAACAAAGATTACCTTTACTAAATACTATGCTACTATGCATTTAGCTAAATTATTCTAGGATCACTTAAAATATTATAAGTACTATCGTAGTTTTGGAATCATAACATGAAATCAATGAAAAGGTAAATTTAATTATCCGACCCTTTACAAATATGTTTATTTACGTTCTATTGAAGCATACAAAGTTCAACGGTGTGTCCTTATAAGGGCGTATAACGTACACAA